ATAATTAATATAGCTATATGATAACCCAACGGGCGGGGCTGAGATAGATTTTGGTCGCCCGACCGGAGATATCGCTAGCTCCGGGACGTCGGGCTAGCGATTTTTGCGAGCCCTGAGACTGTTTTATAATATCTATTTCTCCATAGTTATTTATGTTTACAAATGATCAGTGGAAACATTCTAATAAATTTAAGTAACAAAATGATTATATAAATCCAGGTGAAAGTTTGCCTTTGCAAATGAAAAGCTATACTTGAAGTGTGAACATAAAGCACTAAACTCAGTTGTCATTACTTTGCATGGTTGTCATGAAATGAGAGTGCGAGAAAACAGAGCTTGCAAGGCGCACACATGCTAGCATGGAAGGGGACAGGTGTGAGCATGAATGGATGAGGAGCAGCGGTCAGCAGTGGGACAGGTGGTTGTAGGAAAAGAAGTGTGTTTGTGTCAATCTAGTAAATGACTTCTTTGTTTATTTATTTAGTACTCTCAAATGCTCAGTTGACCTTATAAAAATCATGTTCTGCTGGTGTTTTACCATCAAAAAGGCACATGTTTAAAACTTGTCTGGTTTCCACAGCAGCAAAGGCAAAAATATTTTTCCCCAGGCTGAACTTGTGGTACTATATTAAACAGCAATGGAGTGAGTCTGAAGTGTAGCTCTCTGTGTGCGCTTATTCACTCTGAATACCAAAGAGATAATAAAGCAGAGTGCTGAAAATTTCCCCAAATTTTAGACGGTGACTCCAGGCTCTTTAGTTTCCTTTAGCATATTTTGGCTTCTATTTTTGCCCTTTAAAATCAGATGAATTTCACCCAAAGCGGCTGTCATGAGTTCTACATGGTGAATTGGCTGTCAGGCACACCAAATGCCTCTCTGTGAGATGCCAACTGTGGGCGTCTGAGATACGCTGATTATTCTGTCTGACGCTTGTTGAGTCAATCTGTCTCAGCCTTCAGACGTTATGGCCGTTTGGTCGCTTCGGCCTGGAACAGCCAGACATTGGTCACTGTTATCGCTCCATTTTGTCATTGTTATCAGTGTTGTATTTGCCATTACCACATTTGTTTATTGCTAAATGTGTACTTGTAAAATGCTATAACATTTATTGCTCTTTACAAAAAGCATGCGAAGTTATAATTTCAGAAATGCAAATTATATGTAAGCTTTTCTGGAAATTGCTTTGGAAATGTATGACTCCTTTCGTTCCTCTGTGCATGCTCAGACACCAGTGTAGACAGAGGAAGAGAGACATAGCAGCTAGGGTCACTGCTGTTATCACCACTGGGATGAAACCATGGCAACCATGCTTCGGACCTAATAACCATTACTGCCTGTTACTGCGACCCCCTACTCTCACCTTTACCCCATTTTAGTGAAGCGTCTCTGTGCATCATTTCTGTTATCAAATTATTAAAGGAAATTTGGTGAGTCTAACGTTCTTCAACTAAAATATTACAGTCTAAAAAAAGACGACAAACTAAGACCATGTGAACCATGTTGTAGTGCTATTTGATGACGGCCAAAAATCAAAATCACAATTATTTTGGTCGTATATTTAACTTAAGGAACATCATCCATTAACTCAGTTGAAGTATTAATGATTTTTCTGCAGGTTTGTGTCCTCTAATTAAAGGCTTCCTTTCTTGGCTCAAAATAAACTTCACAGTGGAGGGGGGGGAAAGTTTTTGTTCATGTTCGTCGTTAAGGTTGTAACAATTTTCCAAAGCTACCATTTAACATTTTACTTCAGTTTTTCTTTAGAGGGGATGGGAGGGCAAAATAACAATTTTGGCAATAAACGTGTTTACTCTGATATATTTCCAGTCCACTCATTATCTGACCAATCCTTAAACACAGGTATCCACATGGGTACGACACTACATGAAGACAAAACTGATATATTATTGTCATTTGTATCTTAATTATGAATTATTGCACCCTTAGCAAACAATGGAAAATCATAATTAAATATAATTATTTGCACAGCCCTAGCTTTTTGTTATAGCTCGTTATTTGTCAGTCTTTCAGACTATGCGGCTATCTGTTTAAAACCAGATGTGAGAAATGCACTGAACATCTGTCACCCCATCCTCTGTATACCTTCCTGTGTGAACCGGCGGTTCTCTCTCTCTTCATCAATCCAAACAGCTGACAAAGGTTGTCAGAGCTGCTGCTTCTGCTGCAGGACTCTGATAAGGATAATAGTGCTGAAATTGTGTTTGCAACTTACATTTCCTTAAATTCCTTAAATTTCCTTTGACATGAAAAATATACTGGCCCATACATGTTTCTCAAACTGCAGCCATGTGTACAAACAGTTATATGGAGATGGGAAAAGCTGCACTGAGATTTTGAAGCAAATCTAGAAATTTCTTGTGTGTACATAAATATATGCATATTTTCATATATCTCAGTAAAGAGAGCCTATTAATGAAAACGTGAAATTGGCCAAAAGTTGTAGTTTTTTAGTTCCTATTATATCCTATTGTGTAGTTCCCTAAGTTATACAGGGATACAGTTTTGAATTCATCAGCTGAATGTAGCTGGTTGATTATTTTGGAAATGTTTCAAAGCAGCAACAGATGTGGTTCAATTTTTAGCCAGCCACCACCAAGTGATGTCAGTTTTTTTTTTTTTCTTTTTTTTTCTCCTTCTACGGTGAGGTCACAGAGTATGTATAGAGCAGTTAATTACTGCACACGCAGAACTTCTGCAAAACCCTTTACTAATATAAGCCTCGTTGTCATGACTGCAGCAGTGCACTGCACAGAATAGTCGACTGTCAGGTCAGATGAGTTCAAGTTGTTCTCTGCCATCAGGTAAGTATGAAATATTCAAGTTAGCTGACCTTTATGTATATTCTATTTAAAGAACCCATCTCTTCCTTTGCAATCAGACATGTGGTTTAGGGTTGGTTTATACTGCTCTAAAAGTTTAGACCATGAACACTGTGGCAGTTAGCTGTGTACAGTTTCTACCAGATGGTTAGCTGGAACTTTCTGAATTTTACAGATGTTGCTTTATGGCAGTTTGCTGTTTTTCTTTTCTTTCCTTTCTTTCCCTTTTTTAAGGAGGCCATATTTTACCTTTTGCCTATCTTGTCCACTTTCATTTATTGTGTTTTTTCCTTTTTGTGCATGTGTAATATCTGCAGAAGTTACAAAGCCCATGTCAAAAGGAATTGTCTACTTCAGAAAATACTAGTTGTTATTAGGTGTCTGAAACACCTTGTTGGGGTCCAGCTTTTTGTTTTGTTTGTCTGTATCGCCGGGTAATACATTTGCCTAATGACCTCCGGCAGAGAACAAGCACCCTACAGACCAACATTTTTATTCTTTTACAGTAGCTCAGGCTGCACCTTCAAGTCTTGGTTAAATGCCAGACATTGATGACTCCTTACTACTACAAACCCAGGCTATACTATTATTTTTACCTCTTCATGCTTCGTCCAAACTGATATACTTGATCACAAAAAATAGGGCTGGTAGATGCTGTTTATATGATGAAAATAGGTAATTTTAGTCTGCTGCTTGGTGGTTGATTGGCACCATGATGGCGTCATCACATCATATGTCATTTGTGGATATAAATGATGTTGTCATTAATTTAAAATAATAGGGTGCTTTCATCAGGCGTTTTAGGTGCAGAAATACTAAAGTTCTCACGTGCCAGATTTGTTGCTCAGCCACTGGTCCAGGAGGAGCTGGTAGAAAAAGACAGATTTCATGTATTATAGTAAGATTTCCACACCACTACCAGGAAAATACTCTGTGCTGTTTTGTTACATGGCTAATGTGGGTATAATTATATGCCCAGAGGCCAAAGTTATGTCAACATTTTAACAACAAGGGGCAGAAACTGGGGAAACTTTAAGACCAATTTTAAACCAGTAAACAAGGACTGGGAGGGAGTTGGTTTGTTTCCATGTTGCCTTTTTTTGCTGCAGTGCGGGTCTTTGAGAAAATGGTAAAGGCATCCAAACAGTGTCTTCTGTTGCAGGTTCTCGTTGTTTGCCTGATTCTGGTTCTGGCTCCACTGGCTGATGGCTACTCGTGTTCTCATGAGGTTTACGGTTAGCCAACAGTAGTCTTTTGTCTTATTGTTTGTTCCAACCATGCAAGGCAAACAGAACTTTTCTGAAAGGTGGTCTGAAAGACACTGTGTCTAGAATAGAGTTGCATACAGAGAGAGAGCAGCAATGTAAAGTTTGGGTGAAAAATGATCTATTTATGGTTGTGGACCTCTAAAAGGAAATTTATATAGCCTTTTAAATGGCATTAGACATCTTATTATTATGATGATTTGAAGTCATTTGTTTCTAGCTGTTTTTGTACCATTGCCGCACCTTTAATTTGACTAAAATGAAAGCATCAACACCAACATTGTCAGTATGTGCAGATGTACACATTGGTGCATTTGTCTACCTGAGTGTAATTTGTTGGTTTGGTTTCATTTTGGTTATGATGATTGAAATGTGAATGTAGAGGGCCCTGCGGCATAAACCACACCAGCTATTTAACCCACATGCACACCACTGCCACTTGCATCATCTCACATATGCAGTCACTACCAATGCACGAAATCTCATGGTTAGCCAGATACTATTGATTTATCTGGCCTCACCCAGTGTGTAACTCTTAAAAATTTAAGAATTGTCTTTCTTTGGAAGGATCTCACCTTCCTACTTCCACACTGTCAAATCTCTGAGCATCATACTTGTAATATTTCAATTATTGCTATGTAGCCATGTATTGATAAACAATCAATGCTAAAAAAAAAGATAATCTTGGATGGTAGTATCCTCTGATAGACGTATGTAGCGCTACTAAAGCTATTTAGAGTCCAATAATCAAGAACTCTGGCAAATTAAAGTAACATTTGGGCTTGGTTTAGATTTAGTTGCTTCGATTTCTTTTCCATAATTATTTTTTTAAAAATAAATATTTGACATTGCGCTCCCTTGCTGAACATTTTTTTTTCTTTCTTTGTGTGACAGGAGTGTCTCCAACAGCTGGTGATGATGCCTTTACCAAATGTGCTGATACTGGGCCGGAACCCCCTCTCTGGTAAGTGCCAGCGTACTAAACAGTACGTCTTCATTATACAGACTGACGGTCTGACCCGTCCTGTGCCGGTTTTAACTTGACTCTAGCTGAGTGGCACTGGTAGTAAGTGCATTGCAGGCAGTTCACTAAGAGGACATTCAACATTGCAGAGCTCCCCAAACTTCATCAGAATGCAAATTTAATCCTGTTAAAATTATCCAGTGCTTTGATGTTTCATGTGTGCTTTCTCTTTGGTGCCTTTATTTTCTTTTTCTGCACAATAACGAGCTGTTAAATGTCATTCATAACCCACGCTGAATCGAAACTTAACAGCAGAAAATGAAAAATGTTGATCATATTTTTGCAGCGATGTGAAGTGGACCAATTATAGGTTTCACAATCTTTCTGCAGCTCTATTCTCAGAAAGCGTTGTGAAAACTTGTACACACATTTTCCACCACAAGCAAGTCGCCCACGGCCACATCTGTAGAGTTCTATTACCCAAAGTGTTAAATTCATTTAACCCCTTGGCATCAAGGCTTTGACCTGGTGCTCCCAGCTATGCAACTTAATACGTCTTAGTCGCCTTAAAAGCAACAATCGTGCAGAGTCAAGTGTTCGAACACCATGATAATATTTTATGTAGCTTGACTTGTCCAGCCCTAAGTGCCAACTTGATACTCCAGCATGAACTTAAGTAAGCCACTGAGGAGAAGATAACTAACAGCAGGTCATCATTTAAGAGTATGCCGTAGTGGTTGCAGAAATACATCTGTATTAAAATATATAATTTGGAGGGGGTTCAGCCAGTGTAGATCAGTAGACACACAAAAGATCATTGGATTGGTTGCTCTACTTTGGGAAAACAGTATCCACACAAAGGTTCAGAGCTTTTGTGTAGATGTCTGCAACTTTAATCATGAGCTCTTCAGTGTATTGTTTCCAGGCTCAGGTCACAGATGTTGCTGAAAGATCTGTACCTTTTTAAATACCCATCCTCCCCCAGCTGCCTTATCATACGTTCATCACAGCAGTTTGTTATTTTTGGGTTTTCAGCACTCTTTAGTGGTCACAATTACCCTTTTTAATTCTCATATGCCCCTACTAGCATGAAAGGTAAATAAATGAACAATAAGAGGCTGCAAGTAGTGAATACTTTTGTGTATGGATCACTGGCACCAGATTTCATAATTGCTTTTATTTGGTGTTTATTAATCCTTGTCAGCCCCTGTCTGTTTGTTTGAATACATCACTGCCATTTTCACAGCACCTTGGCAGTCTTTCACAGCCTCACGCAGCAGCCTTTAGAAGTCCTGAAGGAAATATTAAGAGGATACCGAGGTCGACCCATTGCACGAGTGGAGTGAAGCTCCATGTAAGTGGGCCAGACCAAGCAGGAAGACTTCACTCATCTAGTGCTTTTTACCTTGTAGCTCATCAGATAATCACTCAGCAAGGCAGCAGCCAGTCAGACCAGTGCTAGCTGTGGAGCTTGGCTGCTGGCTCAGTGACTGCCAGCTGAAAGTCATTGGCCATGTGGCTTTTATTATGCTCCCATTAGGGGGGGCAGGGGACAGCTCTCCATGTGTGTGAGTGCATGCATGTGTGTTTGGTGGATGGGGGAGGGGTGTCTTCACAACAGTGAACAGTGGGAATGCACTGTAGTACCCCCCTCAAGGCTCTGGTTTAACCCTAGTTCCCCTTGCATAAACATGCAGGGTTATATGCACAGACAAACACTCCCTTGTGCATGCAAGTAGTGTCTGGTCAGTATGGTTATGTGCACATGTCAGAAAAACAGAGTAGCTCCTTTGTTTAGTCTGTTTTAAAGTCTGTGAATTATCATCACTAATATCTTAGCTAATCTATAGCTGCTTTCCTTGGGCAAATTGAGTGGCCTTTTATAGTTATAATCCTCTTTTCATCACTCCTAATGGAAAATGCTATTCACTGACACCAGCCAAAAACAAAGCTGATTGAGTCATCATCAGACAAAATTTAAAGGTAAATTAGTGGAGTGTTTTTGGAGCATTTCTAAAACCTACAGTATGCTCCCTTATATTGAAGAACGCCATAATCTGAAGCCCTCTTTAACTCTATGCTGAAAACTCATACGTAAACTACGAGGGGCATAAAAGTGTAGGCATAAAAATAGTTTCCGGTGACATCAGTTCAGAAGTGGATTTCCTCGAAGTCTAAATCAGTATCGATCACAGTGCTTTGGCTGTCCTCACTGTATAGGAGCACTCAGACTATTTGTGTTCCTGAGGCTGAAATATTTTCGTTTTGTGGAGATGCACGTTTACCTCTGTTTGTGTGTCACCCACTGTGTATTTGTGTGAATTTACTGTCTTTGCATAAGATTTGAAATAGGACTTTGCTTCACCATGTGCAAAAATACCTTATATAGTGTAAATATTTATTTTATGAATTAATATATTTAAGCAAGAAAATCCGATATGAAAATCTCTGAAACTGAGGAAAAAAGTTCTGCCTATTTTTACTATGTTGTGGTCAGTTGTGCGTCTATAATAAGCAGAGTAGATGGAGAGGAAACCAGTGTTGGGTTAGCTCTGAGAGCTAGGGGATTGGTGGCTATTAATATAAATGGGTAGCCTGCCTGAATAAAATCTATGTGCAGGAAATGCTGGGTAAAGCACAATTGCTCTAAAATGATCTCTAAGTAAGGTTTAGTCAACTCTGCCCTGTCCTCTGCTCCAGTGAGATGGGTTGAATAGACTCTGGCACCTTGTCAAAGCAATATCATATTGCATGTACCAGTATTATTACTGACATGCATGCCATTGGGTCCTGACAGAGCTTGCATGGAAGTACACAATTCTGTTTTTCCTCATAATTGACTCACATCCTCCCACACACTGCTGTGGCATTGCAGGAAGAAGGGTTGGTAACTGTCCTTCTGACCTTTTGTTTCCTGCCTAAAGGATAAAAGAGGGAGGAGGGAAAGGTGGTGAAAAAGGAAGCCTAGATGAGTGTGCTCAGTCTCAGAAGGTGCAGATCCTCTATAACAATGTTAGAGGATGGTAGGAAGGAAGGATGGGTGGATGTGTGTTGCAAAGAATAAATGGGTGGATGAAGTGATTGGATAAGAGAGGAGGAGAGTGATGGAGGACAAAAAGCCAGCAGAGATTGAAGGCGACCTCTTTGCTGCTGGAGGGAGATTTCTTTCTTTATTTTCAACCTTGCCTTTTCGCCTTCCTCCTGCTCTCTGTCTCTTTTGGTTTCTGTGTTTCTATATTCTTCCCTTGTGTTTGTGTTGCTTGTGCGCTGTGGTGCTTTCCTCCTTTTGTGTCTCTTCCTTTCATCTTTCCCTCTTTACCGCTTCTCGCTCTTGTTCTCTCTGTCTCTCGGTTGCTCTCTCTGATGGTATAAATTATTTATCCTATGAGGCCCCTTATCTTTCCTTGGTTGCTTCAGTCGATTTGCTGAGCTAAATCCCTTCCCTGACTAGAATAGGTTCCTGTGGCTCTAATAGACTATTGTTAAGCCCAGTGGCTCTGAGAATTAGTTTTATCTGTCACCCTCCTAGGCCCAAATTCACTTTTTTGTGTGCTTCATAATGAGTGACTGACTAAGCACACTTCAGTATTCATTCTTAAAACAGCACTGGTTATTTTCTAGAGACAGTTATTAAGAGTTAAGAGTATTTACTATTAATTAATGATAATATATACTTAAAATGCAGTGACATAAATGTTCAGTTGATTTTTTTTTTTTCTAAACTGTTTCATGACATCATGCCATGTCTGGGTCACACGCACAGTGGATTTGTGGAAAAACACCTGACCTTGTTATGACTGATTTCTATACCAGAAGGTTAGAAAGTTTCCCTCTGAGTTGTCAACAACCTGCCACTCATTTCCTTGGTTGCGCTTCAGCACAAATTCTATTACAAGAGAATTTCCATATTATGATTGAAGCATCTCTATAATAAGTGCCTAAAGAAGAAAAAAGGCTGCTGCAAAGCTCCAGGTCTATTAGCTGGAATGCTCAAAAAAGAGAGGGGGGAAAAAGAGACCTGCTTCACTATATATTTAACATAACTGAAAGTTATTTTCTCACATATGAATGCTGCAAATGTTGGCACAGTTGGGTCCTGACATTGTCAAGCAGTTGGCACACAAGATAGATTTTCGGTGTTGGCAAAATTCCACTTGCTTTAGGGAAGGATGCCGAGAGAGAGCATCCTAGAGGCAGGATGCAGTGAACACACCGGATTATTACCTGTGATATTTCACAACGTGCAAGCCGGCAGAGAGGCGGGGGCTGTCACACAGACGGGGGCTGTGAGATTAAGTTTAATATCTGATCTGACTCATTTGCATTCTGACATGTCTGGTAATTTCTCAAAAGCTTCAGGGCTACTCTGTAATAATATTGACTTTTGTGCCTCTGATTCAAGACTGATGAATGAAGCATAATTGATTTGTATAGAGAAACCTGTAAAATAGCTGAATAGACACTTGCAATGGGAGTCTCTGTTTTGCCATCCTGAAGCGACAACAGTGTCTGTTGCTTTAAAAAGCTCTTTCACATAGAAAGCAGCATGTCCTGTGCTGACTGCTAGGCCAAGCAAACGCTGACCTCTGTTCTCTGTCTGTACCATGTCATTTTTTGCGGCCACTTATGGTTTTATGTGTATGGTATGCGCTCGCTTCCTGCCAGTCTGCATTTCTACGGGTTGTGTGAATGTATGGATTTCAGAGGTGCCGTTTGTATCCACACTGTATGTGAAATGCCCTTAAGTTGTTGCTTTCCACAGCTTTTTTTAACCACCTCAACCCACTCCAAACATGTACTTTTCAGTCCTTCATGAAAAGTACTTTCATCACTCATTCATCTCATTATCTCTCTTTTTTTGTCATTTGGAAAGTCCCACGAAGATTAAAGTTGTCAATGAAAATTGTCCTTGTGTATGCCTGCTGTTTAGCTGTGATGATTGGCCCATAAAGCAGACCACCCTACATCGAGAACATGCTGTCACTAATCTGGATTTATGATCGTTTTAGCGGGACATTTTTAGCCCTTGCTAGCCCCCCTGGGCCGCGGGATGAGCTGGCTTATCACACACACTCTGGTTATCAACTGGGGGAACACAGTCTTAGTACAGAGAGACACAGATGCCCTTAACTAGCATTAACTATACCACTTAGTTAGTGTGTGACACACACACACACACACACACACACACACACACACACACACACACACACACACACACACACACACACACACACACACACAAACATGCACCACCTGGTTTGCTGTTGTTCAGTCCCAAATCACACAGATGAGCTCAGGCCTGTTGAGCAGGCAAGCAGCTGTTTGTCGGTTTCAGCAGTTTCTGACAATATGTCCTGACATGTGGAAGTACTGGGTGTTCACCCTGCCAGCCTACTGCGCTGTGGAAAACATCGTGTCACTGTATCTGAGGAAAGGTTTTATAAGGGGAAATGGGAACAACCCAAGAATTTAGGCTTATTGGAAGTAAATGTGGGAATGATTTTATTCCTGTCTTAAAATAAGATGAAGCTGATGTTTTAATCTGAACCTACTACATCTTGATTTATACAGGGAATTTGGTCGTGTGAAGCCCTGTTTCCAAAGGACACACAACCTTAAGATAAATTTATTACTAATTGAAAAAAAAATCAGTTTGTAAAGCTTAATTTATGAGTTAGTTACTGACCTACATCATGCAATCGATCTGAGCTTGTTGTGATGAAGAGGCTGCGGAAAATACTTCCACTGCTATCAACAAAACACCAATCAGTAGCACTAATTAACTAACCTCTGTGTTTTTACTCCTTAATAAACCACAAAAACTGAACACAAAGCCAGACAAATAAAGGGAGTAACAAGACACACGTAACAAATGATCTTTGATTTCCACAGGAATTTTGTTTGGGTTTTTATGCAGACATATTTAAAGTTATTCCTCTGCTGTGTCCTATGTCTTCCTTCAGCACAAGGTCTGGAAGAGATGAAGAAACTGTTGCTGTTGCTACTAGGCTGTGCTGTCCAGGTAAGAGCTCAGTGTAGTCGACCTAAACACTCCACATAAGTGCATTTGATACAGGTTTCATGCTGCTGTGAAAGTATGGACTAAGAAGATTCATAAAAGACGACTATCAACTCAAGATGATATTTTATGAGGAGGTCAAATAGATATCATTGTTATTTGTGTCATTTTTAGTGGTCATACTTTTGCAATTTAATTCTCAATCCAAAAAACACATTTGGAAGAGTTTAAGTCTGTTTAGTCCAGTCTTCCTTGATTTACTGCCAGCTTTAACTCTGATACAGCTAACGCTGTGTAATGAATGACAATGCAGACCTTTTTCCTGTCTTATGACAAAGCCTGCATTCAGCTCTTACTCACTGCACGTCAGATAAAACCACTGACCTTTCACAAACTCCATTGTTTTATTCAAATGAAGCTGCACCTGTGTTCATGCACTTAACTCTGACTTGATAATGTGCCCTCCACAAGGCTGCATTAAAACGCACAGATGCCTAGCTACTAATCAGAATTATTCATTAAAAATAAAAAAATACATTTTTCCATCTTCTTGCATCTTCTTATTCAGTTCAAGAGCCTGTCTCAGCTGTTTTTGCTCTTATCATCTTTCTGATGTATAAGAATACACTCAGCTCATGTTTACATTGTTGGCCTGCTAACCTCCTCTGGACCCCCAATTAAACTTACAGTATCAACTATGTCACATCTCAAATATCGTGCTCTTCTTCTCTCATTGAAGATTTAGAGATTTAACTTTTGCCCCTGCATCCTCCTCTCTCTGTTTACAGTGTGAGAAGAAGGAAGAGTACATTGAGCGTATCCAGACTCTGGACTTTGACACCAAAGCTGCCATAGCATCACGTATCCAAGAGGTATTTCTCCTCCACAGCAAACACAAAAGAGAAAATGTTATAAGCCTTGCTAAACCTTTCAGCTGGTGTTCACTGTTACATTCACTATTCGCTAAAGCTTTATTGACAATATGATGGTAATTTTAGGTGACTCATAACCAAGAAAATGTAGTGGACCTGCAGTGGTTGGAAAGTGGTGAAATACCTCCAGAGGATCTGGACAGCCTCTCCAGAAACCTGGCTTTCCACCTCAAGCGCCTGGTGGATGAAAGGGACACACAGCTTGAGGTAATGACATACTGTATATGTGTGTGAATATACACTTATTTAGGCTTATTAGTAAAATGACAAAGTACATAAACAATGCAGACCAAAGAACAAAGAAGTGTAGAAAATTTAATGAATTGAAATTCTCTCTGTTGTTGGGGGAGATTTGCTGATGAAAATCTTTAGGTCACTTTCGAACAGGGTTATGTGGAAATTTTTCCTTTTTTCATGTTACCACACAAGAGAAACCTCAGGAAGGAAGGGTTGAAACTGTTAACTGTCGCATGGATGCGTGTGTGTGTGTGTGTGTGTGTGTGTGTGTGTGTGTGTGTGTATGTTTGACTTTGACTTCGTGCGTCATTGAGTTTCCAACCCATGGGGTGCAGATCCCAATGACAGATACAGCGTGTGTGTGTGTGTGTTAGGGGGTTCTAATAGCCTCCAGATTATCACTGTAGTCCAGCCGCTTTCAATTAAAATCCCATTTCCTGTCGGGGGCAGTAGATCAAAATGGGCTGTATGTGGGACTGTGTGCACTTTTTATTCTGTTCTAGTTTTTGGGTGGTGGGAGTCCTTCCGTTGAATCAGTGAATCTCCTCTTTGTTTTTCCCTCTTAGCACTTACACAACACCTCACCTTCTATTTTCTGCTCCCATCCAGACTATAGTCGAGCTTACCCAGGAGAGAGACTGTGTGCAGCTCTCTCCACTGGCTCCCTGTTCAACCCAGTCTCCCGGTGACTCTCCCAGTATGAGGAGGACTGAGAGCCGACAGCACCTCTCTGTGGAGTTGGCTGATGCCAAGGCCAAGATAAGACGCCTTCGGCAGGAACTGTGAGTGCAACCACCATATCAGCTTTTTCAATAATTATCTAAATTAAGCACAGGGAACAGAAAAAAGAAGCTAGAACTGTAAATGGATCTCTGTGGGTGCCAATTTTGTTTCCTACTGTTGCAAGTGTCACAAATGTGATCTGAACTGGGCAGATAAAATCTTGCACGGTCATCAGGATCAGTATTTGAACTTCATCAGATTCTTCGTGATCAGCAATCACCTTCATTGTGAGAAAAGGATAGTCTAACTGGATATTTATCCAAAGAGTCCATTTCCACTTGGCCCACTTATTAGTTGCACGAGCTTTCGTTGTTGTTATGAGCCACACACAAAAGAAGAAAAAGTGAAGTCATTCTCAGAAACCTTAGAGGCCTTTTAAATGTGGTTTATGAATAATAGAGTTTCCTTTTTTAAAGTGCTGTAATTTTCCAGCAGACAAAGGCTTAATGGCTGACATGGATCAGTTAGAATAGAAAACTTCTCACTTCAAGTGGAAGTATTTTACAGGGAGTGCAGAATTATTAGGCAAGTGAGTATTTTGTCCACATCATCCTCTTCATGCACGTTGTCTTACTCCAAGCTGTATAGGCTCGAAAGCCTACTGAACAAGACACACAAGCTGAAACGTCAAGACTGGGCCAAGAAATATCTCAAGACTGGTTTTTCTAAGGTTTTATGGACTGATGAAATGAGAGTGAGTCTTGATGGACCAGATGGATGGGCCCGTGGCTGGATTGGTAAAGGGCAGAGAGCTCCAGTCCGACTCAGACGCCAGCAAGGTGGAGGTGGAGTACTGGTTTGGGCTGGTATCATCAAAGATGAGCTTGTGGGGCCTTTTCGGGTTGAGGATGGAGTCAAGCTCAACTCCCAGTCCTACTGCCAGTTTCTGGAAGACACCTTCTTCAAGCAGTGGTAGAGGAAGAAGTCTGCATCCTTCAAGAAAAACATGATGTTCATGCAGGACAATGCTCCATCACACGGGTCCAAGTACTCCACAGCGTGGCTGGCAAGAAAGGGTAATAAAAGAAGAAAAACTAATGACAGGGCCTCCTTGTTCACCTTGTAACCCTAACCCTAACCCTACACACAGATATCCCCCTAAAATAGCTAAAACTAAAAACAAACTAAAAACTACTTCCAAAAACATTCAGCTTTGATATTAATGAGTTTTTTGGGTTCATTGAGAACATGGTTGTTGTTCAATAATAAAATTATTCCTCAAAAATACAACTTGCCTAATAATTCTGCACTCCCTGTAGTGCTGCACGAATGAACTTAACTTGTACCTGTCCTGACAGACTGGCTGGTGCCTTGAAGTTGGTGTTGTTTAACAACTTTGCAGGAACTGTTTTACTCTACAGAGGTTGATTTTCATGTTTTCTGTTCCAGCTGAAATAATCATGAATTGGATTCCTGTGATAGGCTGTTATCAGTCCTGACATAGACTATGTCAAGGAAATTGTTTACACACTTGAGTGGATCTAATTTGCTGGAAAGAAGTGAATCTGTCACCATAACAGCATTTAAATGAGTGCAAGCCCTGTGTTGACAAAAATGTTAGCTCACCGCAAAGAGGTTAACTTGGGGGAAAATCACCAGGACTCAAGTAGTTTTGTTCATGTAGGTTTCATTTAGTCAAGCGTACCCTCATTTTCTTTATCAAATTAAGAGAAATGACAGCCATCTATTACACAAAGACCCATTTTGAGTCAGAGAAAGTCCTGAGCACTTCTTAAATTTATAGAAAAAGAGAAGTCCAACTACCTACCAGCTAAAGCTTAATTTACATGGATAGAACTCCATAACAAATGACCAACATTGCAGGCTTGTTCATGCAGTGTGAGCTGCTGTCTGTGTTCTTATTGAAATGTTAAATATATTTATTTTACCAAATAATAATTTTAAGGATTTAGATCTGGGATGTGAGTTCTGCTCACATTATATAATCTTCACATTTTGTTAATGTATAATGTAGGCTATCACTTCTAAAGGGTTTTGGTCTCTTATAAGGCAATATTTGCTAATGTGCTACGTCATGGATTAGCCTCATTCTCAGTTTTAACTGTCGACTCACTCCAGTTTAAACAGGTTGTTGATTAGTCAAAAGGATTCCTGTTTGTCGAAGGATGCGTTGTTTTGTTTCCTTTGTTTAAACGAAATGTTTGTATGAGGCCTAACTAAAGGACTAAATTATGGTTCTTCAACAATTGATTGTATCTTAGATTGAGGTGCCGATCAGCCACTTCCTTGTCACATTAAAAACATCTCACCTTGAATGATCTTAAACTAATTTGTCTTAGTTCTTGTGTGGGAATGGGTCGCCATCAATCACTGTAGGCGTTTTGCTTATCTTTCCTTCCTTGACCCACATTTATAATCTCTTCAGTTAACTTAAAAAGGGGCACAATACAACAAGAGCAAGATTTATTTTGTTTGTTGGTTGCTATAGTGTTGCTATAGTGCTGCTGTGTCTGTGATAGAAAGGTTATTGCCATGTGATGAGCTGTGACAAGGAACAAAAAGGTCCGTCTGTCCATTCTGATGTAGTCTGGTCACATGATTTCTGTGCCGTCTTTAAGGGAGAGGAAGATTGTTTGTTGTGTCTATGGATGCAGGCACATACACAGACAGTGTCTCTCCATATTAAGTGTGTGTGTGTCTGCTTTTTGTGTCTGAAGGAGACCAGGTCAGAGCTGGGGGGTATGTTTCACTGTTTCCACAGTGGTCTGTTTTTGTTCATTTTTTGTGCTATTTCCACTTATCTGCCCCCAAAAGCTTATTAGTTTTAATATAGAGGTATTACAGCTTCACCTAGATATATAAATTTGGACTGTTCTAGAATCATATAGATAGAAATATTGAAAAGTAAAAAGTAATATTTTGTTACATTTTGGGATCTAAATGATTGATTGAAAAGCACAACAAATCTTTCAACATAACCATATTTGGTGTCCTAACTTTTCATTTTAAAGCTGTATTTTTATTGAGAATGCTTTTGTTTGTTCTTAGACAAGAGTATACTTCTTTTTTATATGACAAAGAATTAAAGCTATGAAAATAACACCAGACTAACAGATGGAGGACATTTAGATATTTGTTAGACTAAGAATAAAGGTTTCTTTGTTTCTTGGCTTCTTGAATATGGCAACTAACACAACTGTTTGTCTGTGCATGCATGGCGTGTTAAACCAGTCAAATAAGCACCAGACTGCATTCACAATGAGAGTCCAAAACTATCTCCGTGGGTGGTGTTGACAGGTGTTTGATTTTTGGCAGGGAGTTAATTGATGAAATGAAAACAGAATAACGTGAACCTTGGAAGAAAGAAGGTGAACGAGAATGCCTGAATTAAAGGATGCTTTTTATTATTCAGATGGACAGAGACTCCAGAGAGCAGTAATCAAATAGTCCATCAAATGTTCAGTGGAGCGGATTCATGCAAACACATGCACACAGAGAGCAGCATCTCAGGAATGCAGTTATTTTCCTTCAAAGCTACCCTCTGTGGAAGGAGCTGGGAGAATTTGCAACACAGACAGCAAATGTCAGGCTGCCCTACTTCACTGTCATTGAAATAAATGTTACAGAACAGTCTTGGATAGTAGATCGACCCAACTGTTGATGCGAAAAAAGAGTAATGAATTGAATTCTGTAGTTTCCATCCCAGTTTTTATGTCACTCTTTTTATTTTTTGGCTCCAAAGTGCACCAGGGGTTTTAGTCTCAGGGAAAGATTGACATGCAATCTCTTGAACTCTGTTTTTCATTTGTCTGTGACTGTTTTCCTTTGGCTGTTATTCAAAATGTGCTGTCAAGCAGAATCGGTTTGTTTATTACTCACCAAATTTAGGGCAAGACGCAGGAAAGACGCTCCTGACAGCTACAGGTCATACACACCAGGCACGATAGGATATTTTTATGCGTCTGTCCCAGTAACGGCACAACTGAAAACCTAATTTTGGGTTATTCTTCCCTTTCTCATGGACACAACGTTACAAGAATGCCTGGGAGGCATTTCCTAAAATGTGGCACAGTCATACATTGGACTGAATACCTAACTGATTCATATTACTCACTATGACACATGTCACACAAAGATTTAAGAGCATCAAAAGATTTGTATTTTTTATTTTTTTTTAAAGACTACATAACTGCTGATTGCAAAGAAGCTTCTCAGACAAAAACAATCAAAGCTGGAATTTGAGCATAACTAGCACGTGAAACAGATCGGGGCCTTCAAGTAGCTGACGGTGGTTTTAAGAGATCTAACTGCTGAAACTCGGTTTACATTCCTGCTGCCTGTTGCTGAATACTTATAACTTCTTGAAGCTTCTCAAATTACGTAAACTAAAGGGTATCAAACATAATCCAAGATCAGCCCGGCAAAGGCTGCAGTCTGATAGGCAGCGTTGAAAATTAAAACAGGGCACAAATTTTGGACTTTTAACTGTATTTTCATATTATTTTACAACTCTTCCTACTGATGAAGAGCTCTCCCATGGCCCTTCATAGGACACCAAAAACATTTTTTGGGGTTAAACCTTTTCTGTGAATTAACAGACTTCCTGTTTTAATAATTACACGACAGTATGGGCAAATAGCTTCTAGAACTTTATGTGTAAAGTCATGCTTTCTTTCATTCACTACAGCAGCATTTCTTTATCATGTAGAAAAACTGGAACTTAGTGTTGTATTAACTTAGGTGTTTCAGGTATTAAATGTGTAGTTAAACTTCTTTACACTGACACAGAGGGAGTTTTACTGATCCAACCCACTTAAGATCAAAGTAGGCTGCATGTGGCCCACGATATAAAAGAAGTTTGACATTCTGTCTACCTACTGAAACTACTTTTCTGATCATTTATTTTGTTCATATATTCATTTCTGTGCTCCACCTGTAAATGATTAACTGTAGCTGAAAGCTTTGACGTCGAAACAGCCCTAAGGGAATGTTCTTGTGCATCCCGAGAACTGATATACATAGGAATCCACACTTAAAAACAAAAAGTACAAAAACCCTTTGGCATGGGATTTTTCAGTGTAAAGCTTAATGTTTCTAACCTTTTTCCCATTGCTAACCTTTCTCATTTGTTTGCAGAGAGGAGAAGAGTGAGCAGCTTTTGGACACCAGGCAGGAGCTTGAGAACATGGAGGTCGAGCTCAAGAGACTTCAGCAAGAGGTAACGTCTCCACTGACGTCCATGCTTGTGCACCTACATGCACACAAACACACAAACATTCATGTGACTACATGTCCCCTCCACCTGCTCCTTGTGCCTCTAAGTCCTCTGTTTGTGCAGCTCTGCCAGGATTTAATCAGTCAGCAGGTGACTTAGCTCATTACAGGCTATTGGAGCTATCTTTAGTGAAGCAGCAGCCTCACATGGCTTTTGATAGGGAGTGGGCGACAGGCTGACTGGTGAACTGCAGTAAACAAGGTGCATGAGGGTAATTCTTGTGGTTCCAGAGGTGTTTGTGGGGCGAGTTCATTCTGGCCTGATCTGTTTATGTAGCAGAAGAAACTTGCTAAAGTTGCTAATAGCTTATATTTTTACAAGATTCCAGATTCACTGAGTGTTGTTGTTGTTGTTTTTTTTCTTTAATGCATGTTTTGGTTGTTTGCATCTTTGTCCATGAAATTCTTTGTCAGTTGCTCTTTGTTTCATGAATCCACATTATCATGCTGTACATTTGTTTGCCAACTCCCTCAGAGCTATCAGCTGCTGTCAGATGCTCGGTCGGCTCGGGCCTATCGTGACGAGCTGGATTCGCTCCGAGAGAAAGCGATACGCGTGGACAAGCTGGAGAGCGAGCTGAGCCGATACAAGGAGAGACTTCATGACATCGAGTTTTACAAGGCCAGAGTTGAGGTACAGGGCTGCACATACAGATCAAACATGATCTCGTAGCCAAATATTAATAACTCTAGTTTATGTTGGCAGTGTTGTGATATTATGCAACCAGTATGAGACCCATCTTATTATCTATACTGCAATATCTGTGTTCACTGCAAACTGCTAGTTTTTAAAAAATAAGTATTGATGTTTGAATTAGAAATTGAACTATTGTTAGTGCTCTCTTGAATAAAAACTATAAATCTAACAGAAAACACTTTTCTAGATGAATATTTTGTGCCATTCACATATATAAAGATTCATGCATATGTAAAACTGTGTAAGCCCAGTCTATGCAATATATTAATTTAAATCTTACGTTTTTGTTTAAAGAGAGCACATGTCCAAGTTGTAGTTTTGTTGTTCACCTTTTATTACCTGCTGGCTTTTCTGTAGGAGCTGAAGGAGGACAACCAGATTCTGCTGGAGACTAAGACGATGCTGGAGGAGCAGCTAGATGCTAGCAGGACCCGGTCCGACAAATTACATCTCCTGGAGAAGGAGAATCTACAGATCAAATCAAAGATCCACGACCTGGAGATGGTATGATGATACGTTTTTTAATTCAGTGTTTCAGTATCGGTACTATTTGGAAAGTACAAATAGTGATGAAAACTTTTGTTATATCCCCAATGACCCAGGAGCGGGACATGGACCGTAAGCGAATGAAGGAGCTGTTAGAGGAGAACCTTGTGCTTGAGATGGCCCAGAAACAGAGCATGGATGAATCCCTGCACCTTGGATGGGAGCTGGAACAATTATCAAAGACACCAGAGCTAACAGAAGGTTAGAGGAGAGCCACGGAGTTGAAAAGTCGAAAAATAGCATGTTGAGTTAAAATGCTGCTGACAGTCACCTGAGTTCACCAAGATTAAGGGTTCAGATCAGACAGATCAGACTGTGGTCATTGGCTCTTAATCCTGGTGTCTTCTCTATGGCCCTTGTGCATTTGTCAGCTTCCACTGGGTTTTCTTTCCACTTGGTTAAGACCTGTAAGTAATATTCAAGCGCTCCTGAAAGATCAGCAGTGCGTTTGGATTATAAGAGTGGTTAAGAGGTTTAACAAGACAGGGATCTGGATAAAGACTTTGTGTGGGAGTTTGTTTGTTAAAATGGCACTTTAAAGGCTTTAAGACCTGTAAAGTTATACCATAGTGCAGGGGTGGGCAATCTCAGTCCACGAGGGCCGGTGCCCCTGCAGGTTTTAGATGTCCTCGAATCAACACAGCTGATTTAAATGGCTAAATTAGCTCCTCAACATGTACTGAAGTTCTCCAGAGGCCTGGTAACGAACTAATCAAAAATCAAAACAGAATTCTTTGGATTTAGTTGTTAACATTTGCTATTTGTAATCCATATTTTTCAGCCCCTCAGAAGTCTCTGGGGGAGGAGGTGAATGAGCTAACGTCAAGCCGTCTGCTAAAGCTGGAGAAAGACAACCAGACCCTGCTGAAGACGGTTGAGGAACTCAGAGCAGCGGCCAGTCAGGACACTGTGACAAAACTGGTCAAAGCTAACCAGGAAAACCAGAAGCTGAGCAAGAAAGTAAGAATTGACGTCATATTTTATTATTGTTCTCTCTGGGAACTAGCTGAAAGTAAATTCCTGTTTTCTGTTTGGATTAAACATATCTGATGTTTGTCGAATGACTCAAAGTTACGCAGACAACTATGCTTCCGATTATGTTATTCGAAGGAGAAATGCCTGCCTGTACCCCAAGTCCTCCCCAATAAAAACTGGATATATAGTTTCACATGTAGGTCCTGTTCACTGTTCATTTCTATGACTGAAATAAAGTGGGTATTCTGTGTGTGTTCTAGTATAGATTTGCAGCTCTACATCGTTTTTTGAGGCTAAAATTTATGTCCTTTATCAGATTAGCATATTGCACCAAGTTCCTCTAAAATATATCATCCTGGTACTTGACTCTAGACCTTTTCCCTCAGTAGGAAATGGACAGAAAGGAGGAGAGAGGGTATAGAAAGGGGTGGATGGGAGGTTGAAAGCAAACCTATAAATCCGGGGAGCCCTGCATTGCCTTTTCTTTTCCAGTGTTTGACACACCAGTGCCCTTTGCTAAGAGAAGTCTCTCAGCTATTTTCAGAAACATAAGCCTCTCTCTGTGGCCGTTGAATAAAAGGCTTGAAATTGTGTTCGTCTCTCACAAAGAGAAAATTCAGAGTTAGATTTCTGAGTGGCTTGAGGAGCCAGAGCACTTTAAAATGTGAATGCAGCTGCTGGAAGAGTCGAGCCACAGTAATATTTACTTTTAATGTGTGAACAGCTGCTTCTATGCGTCTCTCTGCAGATTAGTGACAGAATGAGGTGACGTATTCAGCATTTGTTACAGATTAATAACTGCATTGCCATCTTTGTGACTATGATATGTCGTCCACACAATTGATGCTGCAAGACCATCTCCTGTGCATCTTTTTCTTATTCTGTAACAGAATAAGAAAAACTCCCAAGAACAAAAATCGCAAACTTGCTTTAATTATTGTTTGTAGTTGGAGTCGTTGGAGAACGAACTGACAGCAGACAGAGAGTCGCTCCGCAGTGCCGAATCTCTCAGTACTGACCTGATGAAGGAGAAGGCTTTGCTGGAGAAGACTCTGGAAACCCTCAGAGAAAACTCAGAGAGACAGGTACGCACACGCTTACAGGAAATGACACGTCATCAGTAAAAAATAATATGCACAATTTTTAGAAGTCAGTAATCCAAATATATTTTGGAGTGGTCACATCCTACTCAGTTGTGAATGTGCCTAAAATATCAAAAATATATTTTTCTAAAAAATAATAACCTGGAGTGGAAAGTTTTTGGTAAAAAGCTAATTAGCTTTGGAAAGCTAGCCCTGACTTTGATTTAAATCTCTCCCCTTGCGCCTCTTTTCAAGAATGATACTTCACTGACTGATTTAGAGAGCAGCTTTTCTGAAAACAAATTGCGTAATATTTTTGTGCCTTTAAAATGTAATTAACATTCCAGTTTATTGGACAGTCTCAGACACATTAATACAAATGGGGCTCTGACATAGACGCTGTGCTCTCCACAAAACCGTTACTGACTCTCATTCCTGGAAATTTCATTAAAACAACACGACTACTACACGGCTGTGTAATTTACTGAAGTCTCTAGTTTTCTTGAAAGCAATCTTTGTGTAATTGATTTGCGTTTGGCTCCAAAAAACTGTTTAGTGGAAACTCCACTAATGTTTTATTGACTGAACAGATTTCTGGCACTCTGTCGCCCAGATGCACTAGCTCGCTGCCCGTCTGCAGGGACTTTGCAGCCGTTAGACCTAAATCTGACACCTTTGATTAGTTTAAGTGTCTGATTTGTAAAATCCGGCCTTGATTAGCTACACAGAGAGAACACTGGGATTACTGCAGCAAAATCTATGCACTTGGCTGGGAACATAATGAGATGTGGCTAATGTGATGTTCCAAAATACATGAACAGCTTTGCATACTCCTAATAAGTTTCTGGGTTTTTTTTGGTTTTTTTTTGGTTTTTTTTTGTTTTTTTTTTTTTTTAACACATCATTAGTTTTCTTTCTTGATGTCAATTGAATTTTAATGAGTTTATCTAACTAGACTAAAAGAAACTAAATGAAAGTCTTTCTCCAGCACTGGCTCATGCAGCCAAGCTAGTTGTTGCAAAAATGGTCACTAAGCATAGAATTCACCCAAAAGTAAATAATTTATCTTAAAGTTGTCTGTTAGCCTTCAATAAAACTGATATGTGCTCTCCAGATGAAGGGTCTCGAACAGGAGAACAAGCACCTGAGCCAAACCGTGTCGTCTCTGCGTCAGCGCTGCCAGGTGGGTGCCGAGGCCCGGGTCAAGGATGTGGAAAAAGAGAACCGTATTCTCCACGAGTCGATCTGTGAGACAACTGCCAAACTAAATAAGATGGAGTTTGAAAGGAAACAGCTGCGTAAGTGACATGTTTATTATTTTTTATGGTTCATTACAGCAAGTTAGTAATGGTAGGTTTTTTTTTTTTTTTTTTTTTTCCCCCCCCTCATCTTTCCTCATGTGCTATAAAAATGTTATGGATAAACATTCTAGTTGTTGTTAAACATCTATTTTTGCAGGCAAAGAGCTTGAAGTTATGAAGGAGAAAGGAGAGAGAGCAGAAGAGCTGGAAATTCAGATACAGAAGTTGGAAAGGGAAAACGAGAGCCTGCAGAAGAAAGTTGCCAGTCTTGGAATCACCTGTGAAAAGGTCAGGTGCATTTTGTGACAGTGTCTGCAAGTTTTCATCCTCTTATCTTATCTCACATTCAGATTTATTATTTTTTTTTGGAAGCAATTGTTGGAGTAAGATGAAAAGAATTTGGTGGTATTGCCAAATGCTTTGCTTCTCATCTTTGTTTCCTGTGTGTGTTTAGGTGGCTTCTTTGGAGAAGGAGAATAGTGAGCTTGAGGCAGAAGGCCGCCGCCTCAAGAAGAAGCTGGACACCCTGAAAAACATGGCCTTCCAGCTGGAGGCTTTGGAAAAAGAAAACACTCAACTGGAGCAGGAGAACCTGGAGCTTCGACGCTCAGCTGAGAGTCTCCGCTCGGCGGGGGCTAAGGCTGCTCAGCTGGAGGCCGAGAACAGGGAGCTGGAGAGCGAGAAGAGCCAACTGAAACGCAGTCTGGAGCTGCTCAAAGCCTCGTCTAAGAAGACTGAGAGATTAGAGGTAATACAGGTCATACAGCGGGTACATATGTGATTGAAGAGCAGTGAGATGTAACTGTGGGAATAAATTTCTTTGAGAAATAAAGCAGATATATGCAAATGAAGATTAGTGGCCATCTCGGCACAAACGAAGATGATGTTTATTTAAGAATGTGAAGAATCAGTTTTAGTTTTGTAATTTATTATCACTGAATGCTGTTACAGGGGATCTGACATATAGTTGTCTTCAGGGAGAAGCACAACTAGTTCATAGATGATTTGAATTTCCTAATCTGGCTATTCCTCTCCCAGGTGAGCTACCAGGGCCTAGATACTGAGAACCAGCGCCTGCAGAAGGCTTTAGAGAACAGCAGCAAGAAGATCCAGCAGTTGGAGGCAGAGCTGCAAGAGGTGGAGTCTGAGAATCAGTCCCTCCAGCGTAACCTGGAGGAGCTCAAGATCTCCAGTAAACGTCTCGAGCAGCTGGAGCAGGAGGTAGGTAATGCTTAAATGTGGAAATGGACTGAAAATGAAAGAATTAAAGGTATTTTGAGGAACTTGCAGTTATTTGTCCAGCTCAAATATATGGCAACTAGTGGGACAGCTCTAGGCGTCTGTTACTTTTGTTGGCATTGATTAATGGGGTCAGTCACACTGGCTCAAAAAATGTAGTTTCAGCAGACTGAATTCTCCTAAATAAATCAAAAAAGTGAAAAATGATCTGGTGCTTAAGGAGCATTGTACTGCCGCTCTGATTCTTTTTAGTTTATTTTGAAATTATAGCGCGATTCCCAGCTGAGTTGGATTAACCCAGATTATTTGTCGTATACATTTTTGGCCTTTTGAGCAAATCTTTGTCCAAGTTCAGCCAAACAAGGCATTTAGACAAAGAGTAATCCCAAATCATATTTAACCATCTGCTCTCCATTACATTCGTTTCTCCTCCAGAACAAGGCTCTGGAGTTGGAAAGCTCCCAGCTAGAGAAAGACAAAAAGCTCCTGGAAAAGGAGAACAAGCGACTGAGGCAGCAGGCTGAGATCCGCGACTCAAAGCTGGATGATAGCAACCAGCGCATCACTACCCTGGAGAAGGAAAATCGGACAATGGGCAAGGAGATGATCTTTTTCAGGGACTCCTGTACGAGAGTCAAGGACCTGGAAAGGGAGAAAAAGGAGCTGGTCAAACAGGCCACGATCGATAAGAAGACCCTTGTCACGCTCAGAGAGGTAAAAATAGCTGTTAGACTATCAGACATCTGCAAATATTATCTCAAAACATATTAAACCTCTTGATTTATATATTGTAGAGGCCATTCATTGTGTATTGAAACAAATATTGATAGAATTAAGAATTTGTGATTAAAAATTTGTTTTTATATCCCTTTTAATAAACCTTGCAACCAATTTGATTGGGTTATTTTTAATAATATGTCTGTTGCTAATATGGAATTCAAAAGCATGTAATTGTGTGTTTAGGAGCTTGTGAGTGAGAAGCTGCGGACTCAGCAGATGACCAATGATCTTGAGAAACTGACCCATGAGTTAGAAAAAATTGGACTGAACAAAGAGAGGCTCCTGCATGACGAGAGCTCAGACGACAGGTGAATATTATATCTGCACACAAAAGCTAAACCATCCTCAGATTCAGCTCGTATGAGAAGCCTGTCAGCTTGCTTGGAATCAGAATTATTACAAAGCACAATCACTAAAGTTAAGGCTTAAAATGAATCAAGTCTGGTGAGGTGTAAATGACATGCTTTGATTTTAAACAGCGTTTCTTTCACAAACTCACTTTGCAAAAACAAACACTCGTCTGGACTGACCTGAACCTTTATCGTCAGGTTTAAGCTCCTGGAAACCAAACTGGAGTCGACCCTGAAATCAACTCTGGAGATCAAAGAGGAGAAAATTGCTGCACTTGAGGCAAGACTGCAGGAGTCCTCCAACCTTAACCAGCAGCTTCGCCAGGAGCTGAAAACGGTTTGTAACACAACCAATTAATTTTTTAAAAATATGGATTTGTATCTGTGAGTCTGCCGTCTTCTGCTTATCTAAAGTGGAGTTGTGCTGGCAGCAGGTTGACGAGACTATTCCAGATGTCATTCTCTCCAGCCACACTCTAGTTCTTTCTGGGCAATCCCAAAGCATTCCCGAACTCCCCAGCCTGTTCTGTCTCTTGAGGCCTCCCATCTGGCATCCTAACTAGATGCCTGAACCATGTCAACTGGCTCCTTTTTAAAAAAAAAATACTTTAATATAAAACTTGTTCATTTACAGATGTTTAGCATTGCCACATTAAAGAAAACCCCATTATTAAAAACTTGAATATGCTTGCTTGTCCACTTGAGATCAGCGTGTCCCAGCATCTTTCTCGTACACTCAAACGCTAGAAACAATGAAAACATCGAAGACTTGTCAAGGCCGATGCATTATTTATTTTATCCACTCTTCGTTTCTGTCTGCACTTTATCTATTTATAAGGGCTGATGTGCTATAGGAGATGTCTGCTTTCCTTCAGGGAGGTGTTTGTATTTTGAACCTGCTGACACAAATCTAATCCAAAGCTGTGAAAAAACATGAGCCATGAACAGGCGGTCGCAGGAATTGAAATGTTTAATTTTGTTGACTTACTATTTTCATCCCCAGGTGAAGAAAAACTACGAGGCGCTCCGGCAGAGAGAGGAGGAGGAGAGGATGGTGCAGAGCTCGCCCCCTAAAGTGGGGGAAGACCCTCAGGCTGTCAGTAAATGGGAGAAAGAAAGCCATGAAGCAACCAGAGAACTGCTGAAAGTCAAAGACAGACTCATTGAAGTGGAGAGGAATGTGAGTTTAGATACTGTCAGGAATGAATTATGTTGTGAATTTTGGTTCTATATTTTCCTGTCTAATATCATGTGTCGTCTTCCCAGAATGCTACTCTGCAGGCTGAGAAGGTGGCCCTGAGGAGCCAACTCAAACAACTGGAAACCCAAAACTCCAACCTGCAGGCTCAGATAGTGGCTGTGCAGAGGCAGACGGCCTCTTTACAGGAGAACAATACAACGCTACAGACGCAGAATGCCAAACTACAGGTAATCCCGTCACACCTCTCACAGCTTGGTGTGTGTTTATGGGGAATTTTTCACACTTCTTTGTGAAGTCAGAGAATGATACATGTTGGAACAGGATGGGGCCGTCCCCAAACTGTTACCTCAAAGTTAGGAGGATGAAATTGTCCAAAAAGTCTTTGTATGCTGAAACGTTAAGAGTTTCTTTCACTGAAACTAAAGGGCTGGGCCCAGCTCCCAAAGAACAGCCCTACACCAAAATCCCGCATCACCCAAACTTGTCTCAGTGCAGTCAGGCAAGTACCGTTCTTCTGGCAACCGCCAAACTCATCCATCGGATTGCCAGACTGAGAATCGTGATTCATCACTCCTGAGAACACGCCTGCACTGCTCTATAGTCCAATGGTGGAGTGCTTTGCACCACTGCATCCAACCATTTTTTCTGTCTGGTGAAGTAAGGCTTGAATGCAGCTGCTATGCCATCAAAACCCTTTCCATGAAGCTCTCTACTCAGTTCTTGAGAACAGAGAGTTTGGGTTCTGTAGCAATTGACTTTGCAGAAAGCTGGCAACCATGCATATAGTAGGCAACAGAGCTTTGTTAGCCGTTCTGACTTGGATGGCACTGCATCGTGCCTTTATAGCCTCCACTGTGTACTGCCCTGTTTGCACTGTTGCCTTGCCCGGCTGCTTAGCTCTCTGCTCTGGATTTACACTTGTCCTCCCTGTTTGGCAGTAATTCAAACCCTTCTTAAGGGTGGAGGGATTTACACAGTAGCTATTTCTCTGTTTGCATGTGTTGCTTTGAATTGGGCACTGTTTGAGGACATTTGTATGTGGGGTGGGCTAGAGGTAGTTAAGAGTTTTTTTAAAAAAAAGGTAGAAATTGTAGCAACACCAGGACTCTGTGTGTGTGTGTGTGTGTGTGTGTTCATAGTGTGAATAAACACAGTAGTCATGTCTGTAGAGGGATTTGAGAACTGGGTGCTGCTGTGATCATAAAGGAAAACATGTAAAGAAACAGCTTTCATGCTGATGTTTTGTAGTATTTTGAAGCAGGAGAGCAGGTTGAGGGAAGAGTGCCCCCTACAGACCAAAGCCCCATCAGCTACTGCTTCCAAGTTCTTTGATGTTTGATTTAAGGGGCTTAATGCTGTTCTTATTCACACGCCACACATCACTTTTATCACCTCTTTGCGTAATATGTCCTTTTCTCCCTCTGCCTTTGTCCTCTTTTTAGGTGGAAAACTCAACTCTGAGCTCACAGAGCGCATCCCTGATGGCCCAGAACGCCCAGCTGCAGACCCAGCAGAGCAGTGTGGAAGGAGAGCGTGAAGGAGCGCTGAGGGAGAAAGAGGAGCTGAGAGCTACCTATGAACTGCTGCTGCGCGATCACGAGAAGCTGGCAGCGCTCCACGAGAGGCAGGCAGCCGAATATGAAGCGCTGATCGGCAAGCACGGTGGGCTGAAGACCTCCCACAAGAGCCTGGAACAGCAGCACAGGGACTTGGAGGACAAGTGAGATGTGGTTTAGGAGCTTGGGATGGGCACATGCTCAAGTCTAATTGCAGCTTAAGTCTCATTTGTGACTTTAGTTTGTAGTTTGGCCGCCTTTTGCAAGGAAATATGGTCCTGGACCTAACGACATAAGTGTTAAGGTGTGTGTCTGTTTGCGTATGTAGGTACAAACAGCTCTTGCAGAGAAAGGGGGAGCTGGAGGAGCTGGAGAAGAATCTGAAGGAGCAGCAGGAAAAGATGGCCCTGGAGAATCAGACCCACCAAGCTACAGCTGACCAGTACAAACTGCTCAAAGAGGAAAATGATAGGTCAGCTCAACCTTTTTTCCATAACCTTAAACATTATGCTCACATTAGCACTAATTCATCAAAGGGACTGAATTAAATCAATGAGGCCGTATACCAAGGAGTCGATTTTCTCTCTCCTCAGGTTGAATAGCACCTATCGTCAGCTCTTGAAGGACAATGAAAATCTCCAGCTGGACCATAAAAACCTAAAGAGCCAGTTGAACAGTGCAAAGCTGGACCAAACCAAGCTGGAGGCTGAGTTTTCTAAACTGAAGGAGCAGTACCAGCAGCTGGACATCACCTCCACCAAGCTAACCAACCAGTGTGAGGTAATGAGTCTCTCTTCTCTTCCCTTCAGGTTTTCTCATGGTGTCTACCTTTTTAATGTATCATATTTCAAAATACTGCTTCTAAAGCCAAATATGAATGTATCTGTCTATGTTTGTGTTAGTTGTTGAGCCAGCTGAAGGGAAACTTGGAGGAAGAGAACCGTCACCTGTTGGACCAAATCCAGACTTTGATGTTACAAAATCGCACACTGCTGGAGCAGACCATGGAGAGCAAGGACCTGTTCCACGTAGAGCAAAGACAATACATGTAAAACTCACAAAGAAATATGCCAGAACCATGTATCTGTGTTTGTAAATGCAAATATGCTGCCTTTATGTTTAGAGTGTATGCATTCTTGTCTGCTTTTACTGTGCTTTTATCTTCTCGTCGTCCAACCTTCAGAGATAAGCTGAATGAGCTGAGGAGGCAGAAGGAGAAGTTGGAGGAGAAGATCATGGACCAGTACAAGTTCTATGACCCTTCACCTCCACGCAGGTGCATAATTTGTTTCCTTTAAATGACATAAAATTGAGTCAAATTGGTAAAGTTCTGCATACATGCTGTCTTATATTTTGAGATGGAAAAGCAGTGCAGCATCAGGAAGGGAGTGCATCAAATATTTATTACCTGCAGAGCATCATACAGCTGTATAGTGAAAAAATTTTTTCTTAACCCTGATAGTCATTTGGGCTTTTGGCCTAAAATAAAATTTCAAATGCATCTAGCCTTATATATCCTTTATATGATTATGTATTGATTTTTTTAAAATTCTATTTCCTTTTGTTCGTCTGTTATTGAGTGTCTGTCTCATCTCTGCTTTACAGGCGCGGCAACTGGATTACTCTAAAGATGAAGAAGCTGATCAAGCCGAAGAGCCGGGACAGGATCCGGTCTCTCACACTGACTCCATCTCGATCAGAGTTTGGAGACAGTTTTCTGATGTTTCCCCAGGACAGCCAGGACAGCTCATCCATAGGCTCGGGCACCAACTCGCTAGATGACACGCTCTCACACATGAGCAGCAGTGAGTCTGAAAGAACCAAACACACACAAGATTGCACAGTTATAGTTTCAACCATCACTGAAGGAACTTCTTTTAATGTGTTCACAATATTTTTTTTGTTACAAAGAGAAGGGAAACTCTTAAAATACTGTTTTGTAGTACACACAGAATTAGTGAAACATTTGCTAACAGCTTTAATTTGATGCTGAACTTTCTTCACTGACACATAATGGCCTACTTTGTGAGTGTGGCTTTGTATGCCTGAGTGACTGAATGGGTCTTCCCTCCTAACTGCTCCTTTGCTTCTTTATATCTCTCTGCAAAGGGAGGAGAGGGCAGCAGTCTCATGCCCAAGTGCAGGGTTCCTCCAATGGTATGCTGCGGATGGGGAGGGTGGGAGGGGTTTGTGACCCGACTGTCACGTCTTTCAGGGCATGTTTTTGTGAGTCCATTGTCCATATCACTCAGCTGTCGTAGACATTACGGCTGAGCTGTGCAGGCTGACTCTTGACCTCAGACCTGGTTAAAGATGCAGAAGCATTTCTTGTGTTTGAAACAAATTGAGGTGCACTCAGTCAGCTGCTACCAATGCTATTAAACTCAATCACTGAAGAATAGTACTATTTTATGTAGTTACTGGCATGTCCACCATTTCTGAAGAAAAGTCGCTTTAACACTTTCGCTTCGTGTCACTGGAGTCATTGTCATTTGCTAAGCTGTAAGATTTAATATCTTGGAATTTGCAGAATAATTTGGACTACATATATGTTGCCAGCATACTCGCTCAAGGTCGAGCTGAATCAAGTGCACCTCATGGTTTAAATATTGGAGAAAAAAAAAATCTAATCCCAAGATGCTTTGCTCTCTGTAACCTGTCGATCTGTTCAGCTCACTCGTAAATAAGAAACGTCCTGTATCATAGCATCGTAGATATTAAAAGGTGCAATGCGTTGCCTGGTTATCGCGACCTGGCTTGGTTGGTTGTTTTCAGTTGTACTGACATTAACTGTAATCACCAAGAAACAACTAAGCCACATATTTCTGCTATGTAGCACAAAGTTGTCAGTTAGTGTAATGAATCTGTTTTTCACAACACACAAGATAAGAGGTAGCCTTTAACAACCATGTAGTAACATTTGCTAAAACACTTGCGTACAGTACAGAAATTACACAGTCGAGTGTGCTGGAACAGCAGCTATAAACCTCTCATTCTTTGAGGTTCTTGGGAAAGTCTTTGCTGGAAACACTGTAGTGCTGTTTTTTGCTGTTAACCTGCCCCTTCTTGTTCTCCTGATTGCACCCTTTAATAATTTTCATCTTGTCGTCTCATCTAGGTGTGGAATGTGTTGTGTTGTGTACAGAATGTAATGCCTGGAAATAAGTTGAGAATGTAATATACAGTGGTCAAAACCATTAACATGAGAATGTGCGGATGATGCTGATTGTGTGCAGGAGACGGTGTGTGTTTTGCATAATGTGTGTCTGTTTTTCTATTGTTTACACAATGTAGTTTTATACAAAAGCCTGCCCTTAAATACAGAACATATAGAAAGTCAGTGGAAGGCATTTCAGTCCATCCAAAGGGCATCCAATAATGTGTGTGTATATTTTTAATAATATGGAGAGAATTTGTATAGATTGAAATACCTTACACTTGACTAACCATCTAATAGGCTCTCTAATATTATAATCCACATGTTTTTAAAGTCATATATTATAGTTGTTGTTGTGTCTGTTGCAGTGTTGTCTGTTGTCCAGTTAAGGTGTCCAGGAGTTCAGCTCTCTCTCCCCTGGTTCTGTTTGTGACAACATTAACCACATCCCTCTGTTCTGCCCTTCTTTTCTTTCTTTTATTTTGCTTTTCCTTCACCTCCCTCCTGGTCTTACTCTGTCGCTCTCTTCCCTCCCTACCTGTCTGTCTCTGGCTGTGATCGGACAGCTATAAAAAGGTTGCCTTTCATGAGGAACAGATCCAAGGACAAAGACAAGGCCAAGGCCATCTACCGGCGCTCCATGTGTAAGATCTCTGTTAGCTGCCACGCTAGCCTTCATCTGCCTCCTCTCCCTCCTCTTGTCGCGCTAGGAGAAACAAAGGAGGAGCAGTCACTGATGTCAGGGTGGCGGTGGTGAGGGACTTCAGTTTTCAGTCACATCTGCAGAATTCAGTGTTTAAAACTCCAGAGTTTTATCATCCATGTTTTAGAGATGTCTGCAAAGGACCTACCAGAGGATCAATTTTTAAATTCTTTATAGAATTTATCCCATCCCCCTGCCGCTCTGCTATACCTGGTGACATCAGTGACTTGTCCTTAAAATTTTTTCCTAGTAATCCCCACCCATCCCATCACTTCTGCCGCCACGTCTGCCGCCGCCACTTTCTCCTGTAGAGTATCTTCCAAGTCTTTACTCACTTTCCTCTCACTATTTGCAGATGAATGATTAACACAACCTTAACACTAACTTTAGTGTTTGTTAGGGCTAAACTATAGGAACAGTGGTGATTTATTTTTTTCTGTTTTCTTTTGTTTCATTTTCACCTCTGGACCAAAACCATGTCATTTGGTCACTTACAGTAATGTGCAATGGGCAGCTTTCTTGTGTGCTTTGTGGTTTTATTTTGTTTGTGTATGCTGAATGAAAGGCCGTGTGTGTGTGTGAGAGAGAGAGGGTGTGTGTTCAGGTGAGACAGCGGGAAAGACTGTGGGTTTGCCTTTCATGCGCCTGAGAAATGTGTGCTCCCGTCTTTGATTACAGCATGACAAAGAAAATCACTAAGTGCTTGATCATCGCTCGCACTCACCATGGAGGACTTGAAATGGAGCCTTTATTCTGTCTCTCTCCCTCCGTCTGTCTCTCTCTCTTCTCTGTCAGCGTGCTGCATTTCAGATCTTATTCTGCTGACATGGGCTTGCCTCGCTCTGATTTATTTATTTTTGTGTGTGTGTGTGTGTGCACAGCACCACCGCCGTCGCTCAGAGCAGCTTTGCATGTTTCCATGCTTCTTCTTCGCTGTCGGCTCAGTAATCAAAGTGCATAGAGACGGTCAGGGATGTCAAAAAGTGTCTGGCTGTGACCGACCGTGCACTTTGGTTGATATGTTGTTGGCTTTTAAAATATTATTATTATAATGCTGTATGCCTGCAAGTGCATTGAGTTTTAAAAGGCTTGGACCTGTTATTCTATAGCATGAATTTATTATTGAATATTGACTTATATCCACTGATAATTATAGTCTAGATCTGCCCTGTCAGAGTCCTTCGAGAAGCAAGTCTCAGCACTGGGTAGCCATTTTGAAAAGCCTCTGTACAGATGTTTATTGCTATCATCTAAATGAAAGCCGAGAGAAGTTATAGTTCTGTCTGTGCACAGTTTCAAAACGTTACAGCTTTGCTAATGGCTCAGTGCTGACACAACTTCTCACATGATCTGTGCTCTTCTCGTTTCAGCACAGCCAATTCATGATACAGTATTACAGCGCATCTTTGCTAAGATAATGAATATGAGACGTGCTTTTCTTATATGAAACTTAAACATGATTGGCTAATGTATTTTCCATTTTGTCAGTTGATTTGCTCTGCTGGGGCAGCAGCAGGATAACCGCCACCTTTGCTTTTACAGAATCCTTTTAGATTATTGAAGGATTCTTTGAGGCCACGTCTGTTTCCTGTAATGTCTCTAGGCACATTCCCAATGGTAACTTAGCCTTTGTCTCCAAGAGGGACCTAGATGAGTGTCCTGTGTACAAAAAAATGTTGTAAAAAAATCTTTGCAAGGTTGTTCTTCCATCGTAAGCATATTTTAGCGACCAGTTTCTCTGATTTTAGTTTGCCTTTAAAGTCTAGATGGATTAAATTGAGACTTCTGTAAGATAAAATGGCTATAAATCCTGAGCCATTACTTGAGGTAAGATTATATGTATTAAAATGTCTAATCTCAGTTTTTTTTTCTTCATGCCAACCCATCCATCCTAGCTATGAATGACCTGCTTCAGACCATGGCAATGGCAGGTGGTCCTGAGGCTCAGTGGGCGGGCAGCAGTGAGAATCTAGACGGGGCTGAAGCCGGAGATGCCAACATGACGGGCAGCAGCAGGCGCAGCGGGCAGCGCATGAAGGAACTCGCCTTTTCCACCAATGCCATTGATTGTGCCACCCTCACCCTGCCTAGTTCAAGTCACAGTAGAGCCAAGCACAGGCTTCAGGTCAAAGGTCAGGATGCCTGTTTGTGGAAATACATTGTGTTAATTTCCTCATTGCATTTAGTTGACGAAATTTGTTCAGAACAGAGTGAAAAGAAGCCGTAGCATGACTGCACCCTTTATCTCAACAGACAATGCCTCCTGCGAGGATGTCGCCGGCTCATTGGATGATCCCAAGAGTCAAGGTAGAGTAAAGCTTCACACGACATCAGCACGAAACTGTGTCAAAGAAAAGCGCCTGCAGTCTCTCAGCACCAGGCTGGAATCTAACGGCCCCTTAAACAAGAAATGAGGGGGGGAAAAAACAGGTCATGTCCTCAGGAGTCCCACTGATAATCTTTGGGCTGCCTTCCTGCACTTTGATTAAGCTTGATTTAGAGTTAGATGGGAGCAAAAGAGACGGGGAGAGGGAGACAGATCAGCCTTTGCTGAAAGCAGGATTGACTTTAATACAGGCGCTAGGGTGTTATCCAGGGCAGTTAATCTGGATCCAGGCAACACTTGATCAGGTCTGTGTCGCTTTAATGTAGATGACCCAGTTGCTAAACAGCCACAAAACTACTGGCACACATTCCTTAAGTTAGGTCTACAGACAGATTTCTCTTGTTGTGCTTGAGTGCTGCAAACATCTGCACTTTTGATGGTCAATAAACTGGTTCCACAGGATATTGTTCCCAGAATGAGAGAGAGAGAGACTATAGTGAGACTCATTTCCCACCTCATCACTGTAATGGTTGAAGGACGCCCAGTCTCACTCACACACCGGATGTTGCTCAGAATGTATGAGCCATTAGGTCATCGGATGTTGTAGACACTAATGGTAGTTTGAGACGTGTATTGATTTTTTCCCCCCCTCCCCCAGACTCTGTAAAAAAAAATTTTGTTTCCATCTGCGTTTCATTAAACTTTATTATTTTTGAGCAGTATTGAGTTGTCATGTTACCCTTTAGGTGTGTTGCATTGTATTTTTTTTGTTTGTTATCAGGGCCACAGAGGTATATGTCTCCCTGCCATTTGAATCGTTGTGCTGTTGGTCTGAGCGCTGTGTGCAGAGTGTCCTGTAGCATCTGTAGTAAGTGACAGTTACTCAGGACTGAGGATCACTGTGGGGCCACAAGCAATCCGCTGGTTTCTGACTCTGATACTGATCTGTAACATTGGGGTTGATTTGAAATTCTAATTTGGTGTCAAGCATGTCGTGAAAACCGGTTTGAGATGATTTCACGGTCACTGGTTTTCAGTTGGGGCTGTCCCTGTCAGCACTGGAAAGAGCAAGTTCATGTTGTCTTCACACCTTTCCTTTTACTCTTTGTCTTCCTTCTCAGTTCCTAACATGGCCTGTCATTTCCTCTTTAATTACTAACAGACTCACACTTGTATCGTCAGTCACTTCCCCTTTATTGGTGGGAAATCGTTCCTTATATTTGGGTGTCCCTGCCGTCTCTGTCAGTAGTTCCTTTGTTTATTGAATGGACATATTGGGGCTGCAGCCTGGCATTGAGCCACCTTTCCTGTCCCTCTGCCTGGCATGTGCCATCTGCTCCCCCAGCAGGAGATGTTCTGTCAGGGTGTTGGCGTCCGTATACGTGTTACTCCTTGCGTTGGTGCATGTTGGTGTGGATACATGTAAGCGTGTACAGATATAACTCCTAACTGTGAATGTATGTGTGCATGTGTCTTACCTCTCGTCCCTTACCCAGCCGCCAGACCCTCCAGTCTTCATAGCAACAGGACCACCAGTAGTAATAGTAACAATAACTCCCACCTCACTTCTCCTCTGGAGGGCAAAGGTATGCTCCTCCTTTCCTCTTCCTCTGCTCCTATCCACTTGTTACTCTTGTCTTCTTCTTTTGCTCCCTTTCATCTCGTTTCTCTCATCATTTCTCAAAAAATTAATTTTTTTTTCTCGCGCAAAAATGTGATCAAGTTGGTTTGGTTCAACTTTAAGCCATTCTCTTTTCTTCATTGGGTAGAAAGCAATAAGTCATGATGGTAATAAAATTAGATCTGAGTTAAATTATGAGATTGTTTTTTCAATATAATGCTTTTTAAATTGCATGGTGTGTTCTGAAAGTGTGGGGTAGTCTGATCACTACTAATGCAATCAGAAATCTTGTAATCCATGCCTCCCCTCGTCCTGCAGGCACATTGAACGGCAGTCTGAGCAGGCCTCACAGCGAGAGCAGCGGCGAGTTCAGCCTGAGTCTGGACCAGGAGGTGTGGTCCAGCTGCGGCAGCAGCCCCGTCCAGCAGCCCACCTCCTCACGCTCCTCCCACCAGAGCCCCCTGCAGCTGCGCAGATCTCTTGACCCATCCGCCGCCGCGGGCAGCGCGGTCCAGTCCCAGATCAGGAAGACGGGATCCCCAGGGAACGAGGTGCTTTCCCTGCAGCAGTTCCTGGATGAGGGTATTGATCCTGCAGAGGTGAGGCCTGAAATTCTGCTATAAGTGCTGTTCTTAGATTTATTGGATTACAGCCTACATATGAAGTGGACTAAAATCAAACATGTTCTTCTTTATTAGTCAGTTCAGATAACGTTTGGAGTTGGACGTGAATTGTTTCCATTGTTATTTGTTCTGTCCTTAATGCTGTTTGCTGTCTTTTGTAGTCTGGCAGTCAGGAGAACCTCACTGTAGACTCTCCTCGCCTCTCCACCTCCTCTGAGCACGGCCAGAAAGAACGCACTGTCACAAAGGGCCGGGGCATACTGCGCTCGTCCAGCGGAAAGGCAGCAGCAGTCAGCGCTGACCGGCCTCCGAGGTCTTCCGGACAACCAGGACGACCTTCCCTGCGGAAGGCCGAGAGCACACGCGTGAAAGGCTCCGCCCCGATCCGCGCCAGCCTGTCTTCACAGGGCAAAGCGACCTCTGTCTCCGAACGGCTCGATTCAGCCTCCTCCACCCTGCCCCGGGCCAGCAGTGTCATCTCCACTGCTGAAGGTACCACACGGCGTACCAGCATCCACGACCTGCTGTCCAAGGACAACCGGCAGCCCATTTCGGTTGACGCTCCTGCTGCTGCTGCTTCCACCAGGGCTGGGCTACGCTCGCAGCCCACACCCAGTGAGTACCACCCCAACAGCACCAACCTTAAGGGACCCCTCACCACCATCACCCCCATGCCCAAGTCAGTCAGCTTACCTTGCAATAGCTCGGAGGACCCCGACCTCTCCACCCTTGAGTCTTTCCTCGGCCCTTCCTTCACTGTAGAATCTGTATTCATGGACTCCATCTTTAGTGAGTCAGCAGACAAAAACCTCCCCTTCCTTTCTCTTAACCCCACCTTAGTCAGCAACATCAGCGGGCCTCCTGTTACAAATAAGACCCACCCTCCTCCTGTGCCGCATCACATTCGCACCCAAAACCAGACCCCCCACAGCCAATCAAACGGCCAGGTGAGATCCAGCGAGGGTGTTGATCAGAGTTGTGTAAATAATCCGGATCAGTCACTGAGCCCAGAGGAGAGGGAGTCTCTGTGGTACGAGTACGGCTGTATCTAAATGACGGGGAGGTTTCTGGTTTGCTGATTTTAATACTTGACTTGAAGAGGGAGGAACAAAAGGATGGATAAAGAGCAAAGCCATTTCCTCTGCATGTATTTGTCAGAGTACTGTCTGTCTCTGTGTGGTGTATGTGGGTCATTTTTCCCTGTTTGCTATGGTGCTGATTGGTGACTTTACTTTCATTTTTAATATTTTTTAACCCCCATTTTCTTTTCTATGATGCGGGACTTTGACTGTTCTTCCGTCCAATACCCTTTCACACATTATTTTTACCTCATCAGATAAGTTTTACCTGGCTAACATTATACTATTATCTGCTGCAGTGAGGTGATACATTTTATCTTGGGAATGAGAAGAAATAGAGAATTATCTAAAGCTTTCATGTGAGGCCAGAACACACAGAGCAAGTCGGTTCAAGTCACACCAGGAATCATAAAAACAGCAGGAAAAGCTTTTTTTTTTTATTTTTTATAATGAGCATAATGAGCAAAGCATTCTGGGGCAATTTCTACATAGTAAAGTCAGATAATAGGTTCACTTTGCATTTTCTGTTTATTATGGTGATTCTTGGCAAGTCCCACTTTTCACCTCCTAAATTGCATGGCTTTGTTTTGTCTGTTTGACCTGAAACTTTCATTTGGATTGCTGTGATCAAAATGGTTTTCATCAGTTTGTTTCTTATGATGGTGTGTGCTGTTTGTTTTTTACATTTGATATCTTTTCTGTTTTTCTTTGCTGTGTACACGTTCACTGGAGTGTTTGCTCCCCTCTGCAAATGGATTAATATGATCTGGTGGATCTAAGCTGACCTCCTGGGCTGGTGACAAAATGATGAAGCTTCATTCCCAAAACAATCAGGGCGGCATTTTTAGTTTGAAACGTGAAAGTTGACGGAGAGGACACAGAATACAGCATGGCAATAGTGATTTGGTTTCACGCAGTTTATGATTGTTTGGGGGTATTTTAATTATTTTTTTTAGAACGTGGAGTTGATACTGTAAGTTGATTCATTTGAGGTTGTTTTGTGAATGAAGCGAACATCATTCCTTTTGGTATTTTCTCCTGACACGCCACAAGTTGGATAACTTGAGGTGATATTTGAGACTGACCTATCTTGTATAGACTGCTATCATTAAGTTATAATCAAAGACGAGCACTACATGTTGTGCCAATACTAGTTGAACTGCCTGTATCTACGTCCTTATTTATTTCTGCTTTTGTACTCTTTAGTTGCTGTTTTGAAGTTGCTATATTGTATTTATCTTGATTCAAAGTATCCGCAGGTATGAAGTAAATGAAAATGGTCTGTCATCACTCTGCAGATGTAACATAAGCGTTGCCTTTGTCCTACAGATGTGGAGGGCAGAAAGTCTAAAAGCAGGAGCGGGGAGCCGCAGCAAAGCTGCTAAACCCTGTCCCCCCCACCCTCGTCTGTCTGCTACCATGCTGTGAGCGCGTGGTGAGTGAGCGAGCGGGAGGAAAAGGGGGAGGGGGGTGGGGAGGGTGGGGTCAGTCTTGTCTCCATGGGAACCTAAAACATGGTGTAACAGATGTCGTCCATCCTGCTGTGCGCTTGCTTTCCCCTGCTTCTCTAAGCTGTTACCCTTCTCCCTCACTGTCCTGTCCATCCCCTCACTGTCACTGTGGTGCCAAACGCCTGTTCAAGGAGCCTGATGAGACCCGTCTGCATGGCATATGGGCCATTTTACCGTGTAGCTCTCAGTGTATGCTGCTTCCCCCCCCCCCCTTGGATCTCAAATCCCTCGACAAGACGAGCCATTCGGCTCCAGCAGCTCACCGTTTCCCACTCCTTCATAAAGCATCTCATGCTGTTGGCGACTGCTGAGTGAAGAAGTCGGTGTTTGCAGGCTGCTTATTGTTGCTGCATGGCTTTGGTGTAGCGCTCAAATCCTTCCCTCTTGCATGTAGATCCAGGCGTCCTTCTGTGTTCCCTTGTCACGTCTCTGTCTTTGCTGGTACAGCTTCTGATCTCTAACTTTCTCCTTTGTCTGTTTTCCATCTCCTTTCCTCCTTTTATTTTTCTCAACTTTCTTGTCATCTTTCTTTTCCTATTCTCTCTACTCCTCTTTGCTTGCTTGGGACTCAGAGAAAGGTGGCCTTGGAGCTGTGTGTCTGAAGCCTAGTAGGGTGAATCTGCTGAGACCGTCTACAGTGAGAAAAGATTGTAAAAGCCTGTCTCACCCCCCCCCCCCCCCCTTTTTTTTTTTTAACCCAGGACACTTCAGTAGAGAAAAGTGGCTTCCTTCTCTGTTTTCTTCTTTCTTCCTTGAATCAAGGAAACAACTTAAAATTATTAGAAAATGTTACAGTGACAGTTTTTATTTGTTTTCTTTCCACTAAGACTCCAATGGCAGATTGCACTGCCACGTGTCCTTCAGTGTGACGGACAGTTAGACATGCACTAGTGTCTGTGGACTAAAATTAAAGTGCCAGTGTTCACACAACAGCCAACAGGGCAACCTTGAACCAGTGAGACAGACCTTCTTCTGCCCAGTGCCATGGTCATAAAACATTTTGTAACTGGGCAGAACGCACAAACAAAGACAACATGAAGCATGTCCGAAGAATCACAATCTGCATGGAGCAATCAGTCAATCATCCCGCTTCCTTTATCCAATCAAAGAGAACAGTGTTCAATGGAAACATGCCAGGATGCCAAATGGACTCGGACAGGAAGCCATGACAGCTTGATTGAGTGAAGGTAGTGTGAGAGAGAAGTAGAGACTTATCATGGGAGTGTTTCAGGTCACCTATAAGGCAGAGACACACCCTGAGAAAAACCCTACATGTAGTTCATCTTCACCCTTCATTTTCATTTCACCAAATGGCACTGAAGCATCTCATTTATCACTTCCATTGCTGCTCTAATCCAGAGAATAACTGTAAAAGCACAGTCTTTACATTCTAAAAAGACACTCCGTAAGGAAGCGTTTAATAAATCTGTCTGAAGTATAGGTGACCTGCGACCTGCCCAGTGCAAACGGAGCATGTGCAGACTTCTGTTGTGTTGAACATGTTGGCAGTGATGAGACCCAGTGTTTTCCTCCTTTTCCACTTTTACATGAATTCATTTGATGTAATTAAAATTCATCAAGACTACCTGTGTGCGCTCTTGGTTTGTGTGTGCATGTGTATATATAGTCGGGGTACTCTGTTATGAGAGTGTAGTCTAATACAACAGCGCTGCAGTGTGAATCGTGTTGGAGTTCTATTTGAGCTACTGTTTGTGGTCCTTTCCTTTTTCAAAGGTGAAACACAGCAACTCAAATGTAGTTCTTGCAGTACTTGGTTGTTTATCTTACTGCTGAATTACTCTTGATTTCTGAGTTATTACATTTAAGCAGAATTGGTGTGTGAGTAACTTTACACAGTCAGATTTAAATACCCCAAATATGTATAAAATAGCCAGTGCAATAGCTGGTGTAGATACGCATAGTTAAAAGTTAATGCAGTCTAGTACTGAAGTGCTGCAATAAATTTTACCATCATGATGTAGGCATGAAGGGAATAATTATGTAACAGACTTTGTTATAAAATATCCATTAATGGATAAAATGACGAGAAAGGAAGGGCTGCCTTTGTATAGAGGAGAGATATTAACGTCTTCACATGCAGCCAACTTCAAACCATCAAGTCAGTGATGGAATCGAACCTCATCCAGGCTCACTGATGGGAGAAGGATGACCAGGAGTCAGAGGTATGGTTCTTAAAGGCAAGTTGCGTATTTTCTGCTGCAAGCAGTAGTTAAAATGTTCTGCAGCGTGCTTGCAAATGATCCCTTCTTACTTATACTGATCATTTAAAAAAAGCCTCTAATTTTCTCTGAAAATAGAACATTGTGTTTGTCTCTCAGGGCCCATTTAACTTTAAAATATGCATGAAGACTGGACTTTGTTCCCTAATAGGCACATGGGAGGCAATGTAGGCTGAATAAAGGGATGGATGGTACAGAAATGGATGAACCAATATATTCTGTAATTTCATGTTACCTTTAACTACCAATAGACCTTAGAGTGGGTTGGGTAATGAACACATTTTAACCAATGTAAGTAACTTGCTATTAATCTCATTGCAGGCACAGTTTTCTCCAGTTATATATTAACATTGTTTATCTTGCAAATTTTTTTTACATTAACAGTAAAGCTTTGAATAAAAAAAAAACCACACTTTTTTTAATGTATGTTTATTAACTGTATGGTCATGCAAAAATCCAGCATCCAATTGAAACTCTGACATGTTTCCCCCTTTTCTTTTTTTTTTTCTTTTTATTGTAAGGTTACAATGCAATAAATTCACTTTCAAGGGGCACATAAAAGCTAAGGCTTTTGCTAATCTTTTAAGCATTTTAAAGCGATTTAACATCACTTGATTTTAACATCTCAGCCTTTTCATAACCTTGAGGATGCAAATAACATAGGTTTCCATTTCTTTATCAAGTAAACAGTGAAAAATTACCAGAAAGTAGACATGCATATTTCTTTCATTTGTAAAACTGCATATATAGTGTTGCTGTTAAAGATTGTGGTTTTTAAATTATCCTCTTTAAACATCTGTTTTAAGCCTTTCACAAATCTTTTCAGCTCCTCGGTTCACTCGGGTACACTCTTAACACATTTCACACATTTGCCAAAGTATTTGGAGAACCTGACTGCTGAACACAATAGGACTTTTGAAAGAATTCAAATGCAGGAAAGCTACTTAAAGTATAGGGAATCATTATTCTCTTATATGCATTTGGTGCTTTTTCCAAAGTTAATCTGTGCCCTAAAGTGATCAAACAGCTGATTTATCCAACAGCTGACATCAGCCAAGGAGAAATACGGATTATATGTGGTGTGACAGAAACTGGAAAACTGAGAAACCAAAACTAGATCTTCCGGTCTTTAATATTCTAGGTAAGGGTTCAAAAATTGAACGACTCACAGGTAAGTTTATACTTAACGTCGAGAAAAAGATTCTTTGAAACTGCATTAATTATAAAATTTGGACCATGTTAAAGTTGCTTTGTGAAAGTGGATATTTCTAAAATCATCTTACGCACTGTTTAGATCCATCGTAACTTGCTACTAGCAGTCCCTGTCTTGGCTTGTTGTTGCCATCTGCAATTAAGCAAAACATGAGAAATATCTAATTTTTAAGGTTAATTATGAGCAAAGAAAGTGGAGATGAAATTTAAAGTGTATATTTTTTCCATAATATTTTTTACTAAACACACCCAATTCAAAGTAACCAGGTAAGCATATGCACAACCCAAAATCTCATGCTCTTAGCTCTGGTTCATGTAAGTTAATATTTTATGAGCATAGAAGCTCTAGCCATTTCCTGTTCAAACCTTCTGTTTGTGAGGGGCAGCCAATCAGGAAAAAAAGCTACCCCCTAAGACCCGAACTCTTCCACGACATGCATTTTTAATTTCTCTTTGATATTTGGGCATATTGGGGCCCGATGAATGTAAAAACAAAGAATTACCAGATTTTTTTTTTTAACCTTATTTTTGTTTTTAAGAAAAGAGCAATTTTGATAGAACAGTAGCAGTATGTCCTCATAAGTGGATATCAGGCCCTTGTAGAGCAAAATTGAGTATTTTAGTCTAAATAACCCAAAATGTGTTGTCCACATATGTGGACGCCAGGTCCTAGGAGGTTAAAGGAGGGGGACAGGACAGAATTGTTTTAAGTTGAATAATAAAGTCAGTAAAAGTCCAAGAATAAAAAAATATGGACTTGCAACAGGATACAGATGGATCTGCACACCACCTGTGTCACTAAAGTCGTGAGCAGACTCACTGTAAGGTCACAAACGTTGACGAATCACTGTTAACGTTTAACTTAAAACTTATTTGTTAAGCCTGTGCAGCTCACATATTAACATCAATGATGGCTCACTTGCAGCCTAACAAAAGCAGACCAGAGGTGAGTGCAAGGGCCCTAAAATAGTCAAAACTTAAAGGAATTCAGCCTTTAATATTTTTGGTTTTGCCTGAGCTTTCTCGGCTACAGCATATCAAAATATTTGAGTCTAGTTTGGTTTTGTCATAATTGACCAAAAAAAAAGCTTGATGTCAACTGTCCAAATACTCTGGCAAACTCTGATAAATTCTCCTCCTTCTAAGATAGTCGTTAAAGCCTAACTGTATTTTCCCCATTCCATTTAAACATTCTCATAAGCGTGGAAACGAGTGCACACACATACATACACGCGCACACACACAATGAAAGAAAAGCATCTCATCAACAAACAACTGAGCACAAATGGAACTACTGAACCATACAAAACATCACATAGTTTCAGTACTGGTTTTACAACGCTTCATTGTGGTGCAAAAAGTGGGAGGAGACACAGTTTTCATGGCATGTCAGATATGTCCACAGCACAGGCGCTTGATACAGTATGCTGGGGCTCACATATGATTTAAACGTATTTACTTTTTCTTTTTTCTACAGTCTGTTTACCGTGTTAGCGCACAGATATGCGATGGTCCGAAGCTTCGATGTGGTTTCTGCTCTTAGGTGACCACCAGCAACAGGACGGGTGGTGCATGAGTTACTATTAAGCGGCGCCGCACGGGACAGGACAGATAGCAAGCCTCACCCCTCCACTGGTACAAAGTCACACACTCACAAAGTTTCTACGACACAGTGCTGCAAAGTTTAACCACTGAAACACAGATATGGGTTTTTTTTGTCCTCCTAAAAGGCAGAATCTTTGATCTCATGTGCTTTCATGATGTGAATTCCAAAAATATTTAACAAGAAGAAATCTTTATCCCAACATTTCAGCATTCGGTGTGTGCAGTGATCTGTGTGTGAGGGGATGAATCTCCATTCAATTCAAACCCTTAATATTTTTAACCTCTGCATAAAACAAATGGAAAATATCAAAGATTAGATCAAAACACTAACAGCTACAACATTTACAACAGAATCTGACAAAAAAAACAAAACTAAACGGGGCCAAATTCACTGACTGCAGTTGATCAGCGAAGGTCCCAGAGCCCTCTAGCCAGTGTAGCCCTCTTCCCATCGTGCCTTTTTTAAAATTTCCTCCTGTCCATTCCCTTGGCTGCATTCCTTTTTAAACATGCTTTTTTTTTTTTTTTTTTTTAAAATAATGCCAGGACTTCACACAGAAGTACAGCAAGCCAAGACTGACAATATACAAATTATTTCAAGAACACAATCAGAACAAGAGACAGGCATAAGGGTGACATCATCATCATCACACGTCGTGGTGCTACTAAGATGGTAGTACGAACTGGTTAGCGAAGGTCACGACAAATGTGGAGATTGTAAAAGGGAAGGAATGATGAAAGTAGAGTGGCAGAGGTAGGGTGAGAGGGAAGGATTTTGGCAAGCATAACCTGAAGTTGCAGAAAGGTTCACTCCCTCAGAAGAGCGACCACAACAGCATCGAGTCTTAAGTGTCTGTGCAAAAACAGTACAGGCCATCAGAGAGTTAAGATAAATCATGCTTCACATCAAATACACACACACACATACACACAGACACAAACAAAACGAAACTAAAGAGTTAGATTGAGAGCATCCATGCTTTCAGACCAGGTAGTTTAGAGACGTGAGGAGCTTTAGACTTTGACCAATGGCGCTGCCTAGTGTTCCAATGCACATAGTGCAGGGCAGACAGATGGAGGCCTTCTGCAACTTCAGGATGAGCTGGCCTGGATGCCGTGTCTAAAGCTCAGGAGAGGCTCCACCTCAAAGGCTGGAGCACAGGGACTTTGTGTGTGTGTGTGTGTGTGTGCGCGCGTGCATGTTGCATGTGAATATGTTTGTATTTACAACACGGGACCAAATAAAACGAGAAAAAAAAAAAGCCGAAAACACCATCACACTCATCTTCAGCTCCCCTACCTACACCTCAGAAGTAAATCATGCCTCCCTCCACCCCCTTTTGTCCTATATAAATATCCATTTATACACAATTCTGTTAAATAAAAACCCTCTTGATTAAAAATGATTATTTTTTCCAACACAAAATACTTTAAAACAGTATCCCTCATTCAGGAGATAAAACGTTTTTCAGAATACATATTACAAAAAGACAAAATAAAAATAAAGGTCCCTTCAGTAACACCTGAACCCCCTTAAAACATCGTGTGCAGATACTCAAATCTGACGCTTAAATCTGGTGTTAAATTCTAATATTAGTTGCTCCCGTTCCCATAAACCCCACCCACAAATACCTTACAACTCTAAAACGACTGGATTCAAACAGACGCTCTGAACAGAAATCACTTTTTCCCCAGACGTCCTCGCTGCCCCGGTCTCTGTGCGAAGTGTACTTATTTTTCATTTGTTATACATAATTTTGAACATGTTAATACTTTTCCACGTGGCAGACGAACAAAGAGTGGGGAAATGAAGGCCATGGGAGAAAAGGATCGGGACAGCATCACCCCTGTGTTGCCACCAGAAGCATGCACCATCTGCAAAAAGGGGCTGACATCAGCTGGGCCCCAACATCATCTAGCTAGGGTTGGACTGGATTGGTGTTGGTCGGTGTGGTCGGTCATTCAGTCGAGCTTTTAAGATATGCTTTTTTTTTTCTTTGAATTTTTATTGTTTTTTGGTTTGTGGCTTTTTTTCTTTTTCTTTTTAAATTGTAAGGTATGTTTCCCACATTGGTGTTTTCCAAGCAGCCTCTTCCTGGGCAGGATCCAGACACCGCTCCGACCACGGAGAATAAATGCTCCCAATAGCTTTAGACTTCAGGCAAAGCTGGAAAAAGGAGAGCACTGCGGTTAGTGAGTAAGTTGTCTCGGGGTTGAGGATGAGAACTAAAGGACAGAGAGCTTATGCTTTCCCACTGAGCCTGAGATCTGTGGACTCTTTTAAAAAGCAGATTAAAAACTAATCTTTTTAAACTATATTTTCTATCTCCTTGTCTTTGTTTTTAGCTATTTTCTGTGATAGTTATCTTGAAAAGCGCCACATAAATACACTAAGAATATTTTACTGTGTTATGGATTCTTCTCAGTTTCCACAGCTGGCGGACTGAATGCAGTGGGGAACACAGGGCATCCCTGTAAAAAGCCCCTTAATTTTTCTATTAAACTGACTTGTTTTCACTATTGTCTAAATACAGTAAAAGGAATATCACTCTTCTTTTACTTATACATATTACAGGGATAACTCAGTAGGTAGAGTGGTCGGCTTCCAATCCACTGACTGGCTACCCTGAGGTACCCCCGAGCAAGGTACACTGGCTGCCCACTGCTTCACTGAGTGAATGGGTTAAATGCAGAGAGGAATTTCCCCACAGGGATCAATAAAGTATTATCATTATTATTATATTGATGGACAACATGCTTCATATTGTATGCGACTCAGCTCTTTGCCTAATAACACTGAGTTTACTCAACAACTCTTAATATCTCTGATTACAATGAGTACCTTTAAACTCTGATGGATATCATTAAACTGTTGCACAGGCCTGCTTCTCTAATGTGCCACTAGAGTTTTAGGTGATCTAGCTTTAGCCGATGCTGTTGAAATTTTATACACAAAAACCAAAATAATGGAGTATCAGTTGTAGAAGTTGCCTAGTGACAGAAATAAAGTAGTTTGAATTAAAGTTGAATGCTAAAGTGTTTGATAATGTAGATGGGAGATGGACAAAAAGATTTCAGTGCTCTAAGTATTTAAAAACTGCAATTTAGATTGATGCTGCACACCAAAAATCATTAAAGAACCCAATAACCTGCGCAAAGACATTTTGCAGTCCACATTAATGCTTTTATGCGGCATTGAACTGTTATTGCACCTTTCAGGCTGTCGTATTGAGGTGGTGGCATCACCTTACCTGGGCCTGAGTTCTCAGTTCACTGCAGGGGTGCCGCTGGCGCCCCTGAGCAGTGGAAGTGCACATTGAGCCATTTGGCGTCACGGCGATGCCACACACGAGTCTCCTCAGACTGGCAGGAACGCGGCCGTCCCTGACCGTCTATGTACTGCGTCAGACGAATGTAGGCGATGCAGGCGGCATCCTCGCCGATCAGATGGACGTGGGGGTTGAGGATGGTGGTGTGCACCGGTTTGCTGTTTTTACTCAGAACTATGATGGAAAAATGCAAAATGCATTAACTTAATTTGTAAAGGTAGAATTGACACATTGTAGTGTTTATGGCTTTAATGTCCCAGCTGCATTTATTCCATATATTTTTATTAATTTAATATTTTCTTTAATTCATTGGATTCACCACTTCAAAACACTGATGATCTGCTAGATTTTAGATTGTAAATTGGACAAATGTTGTTATTAAATTAAAAGAAAAGAGAAAAAGAGGAAGCAAAGCTTGCAGATTCTACAACTTTAAAAATTTATTGCAGTCTTAAATTAGAGGGTAGAGAGATCCAACATGTTTGGTTACATTTGACCATTAAATGAAAACTTTAGTAAATGAACATATCACTGTAGGCTAAACTCTTGTTAGCAAATGCCAACTATATTGCCCCTGTGGATTCAAAGGGCTCAAGAACTGAAGGAAAAATCCACTAAATCAAGTAACTTACGATTCTCAAAGTAGAACTTGTGAAAGTCCATTCCCTCGACCAAGTTTCCAAGGGCCTCCGGTTCAAAAGAAGTTAGTCCTGGATCACAGATTCTCCTGTGAGGAAAAATCAATCAAGAGTATCCTCACGTGAACAATGACAAAGAGTAAAATCTGCAAATGTGACCAAAAAATAAAAGGAGAAATTCATAGTAATCTACAGCACTGTGAAAAAGTCCTGAGCTGTCTCTAATTTCTTGCTAGGAAAATGGGCTCAATCTTTTACATGTTTAAACATGTACAAAAATGCAGCGTATAAGGCAGAAACAGAGTTTGTATAAGCTTGAACAACCTAAAGTCAATATTTGGTATGACCACCTTTACTCTTTAACATAGCCTGAACCTTAATGCAAGCTTTCTTGCAATTTCTCCTGGAATAGTTCTCCAGGCATCTTGAAAGAAACTTAAGGCTCTTCTTTGGATGTTGGCTGCCTTTTGTACCTTTCTCTGACAAGGTGATCTCAAACTGCTTCAGTGATGTTGAGGTCCAGGCTCTGGGGAGGCCAATCCATGGCTGAAAGTGCTCCATAGTGTGTTTTCTATTCAGGTATGCTTTTACTGCACTGACAGTGCAAATGAAGCTGTTGCCAATCAGATACTTTCCCGATGGAAATACATGGTAGATCAGACTCTGATGGCCTCACTATTGAACCTCTTTCCTAACCACCTCCATTCATTCTGATGACAAGTTGAACCAAAAATGTCAAATTTGGATTCATAGTAAAGATGAGGCATCTCTCAGGTTCTGTGTCAGGTCTTTCAAATACTGTTCATCTCTTGTAGATACATTTTTAAGTTTGCCACTTCTTGTTTTTGTCCAACACTTATCAATCTTTTATGGACACACTGCACACCCTTCTGAGATGCAACACATTTGCAGCTAATAGCTCTTTGTGCTAATAGCTCTTTTTTTATTCTTGTGTAACTATGTTATTGATGGCATTTTCCTTAAATTCAACACAAGAAATGGGAACAAACTGTATTTTTGTCACCTGCTGCTATAAACAAAGTGCCTAAAGATAAAATTTTCAGTTGGTTCTCTGCTAAGTTGTCTGTGTAGACACTTCATATGTGAATGATTCACAAGTGAGTGTTAAGTGGCTTAATACAGCAAGGAAAAGCCCCCACCCCCCAAAACATTCCTTTCAAAACGGTCGCATACTGGACTGAAAAAAGCATCTAAGCTTTGAAAGACCTCGAGACAGCCTGAAGAACTATTGCTCAATTAGTGGTACTAGCTCAAAACTTTAGCACAGAGCTGTAAGAGTACTTGAACACTGATGACACACAAAATACTATTGATTTATATATAAAAACTTACGTGTAAGCCTCAAAATCGCCATTGTTGATGGCTTCAATCAGCTGTTCAGTCATCTTTATTATCTCCTGTTTACGAGCTGCAAGCAGAGAGAGGAGGAGGTGGTGGGAAGAGGAGGGCGGGCACACAAGAGGTCACAGATTGTCAGGGATCATTTGGAGGCTGAACATGCACATCCACGTCGCATGCTTTCCCTCAACTTACTGCCTGACATTTGAAATAAGCTCTACACACGGGAACACCGCCTCTGGTATAAATGACAGTGACATTTAAGGTCACCCAAACACATCACATACTTCAATACTGAACACAGAATCAAGAGTATTTGAAGCTGTATGCAATGTTCAACAGGCCACTGAACCCTGAAATCTCTAAAACAAACACCTAAGCTAACTTCTCTCGACTGAAGGAATTCCAAAAATATTTCACAAACAAAACCGATCATTTACTACAGTTTTTGAATTTGAGAACACCAAAAAATACTGCACATGGTTAATCATCATCAAAAACACCAGTTATTAAACTGAATCTGTAGCAGAGATGATCACAAAGCCACTAACTCCATGTACGCACTCACAGCGTAATCAGCAGAGATTTTCACACACCAGACTTTATGGATTCTCATGTTGTAAATGACATCAGCTAACATGCAGCAGCTAAGCCAGAACGTCCAGCAAAACTCAGACCTGCATGTCCATAAAGTCTTCTGTCAACAAATGACGCACAGTTTGAACAAAAGGCTTTCGGAGCCTTTGCACAAACACACCAAAACCTGCCTGTCACTTACTCTGCTGCAGGTTGCTGCTGCCTGTGGGGGGTGAAAGAGTGAACTCTGGTGCAGGACACGAGCTCTGAGCTGGGCTGGGCTGAGCTACAGGAACACTGGGGCTGCTAACAGCCTCCTGCAGGGGACCAGCTGCAGGTAGATACAGTCATCCCGGTAAAATAAGGTTATATACATGACTTTGCAATATATGAAATAGTGGGTTGAAGAAGTTGGATACAGATATAGTACAGAAGGGAAGCAGTAAACTGTAGTTATATTAGAGCGCCAGTAGATGGCAGCACAGTAGGGCTGGAAATGGTACAAGCGCCGGTGATGGCTCGAAGTTTTACCGCCATAATGTCTTGTGTTGCTTGTTTTATTTTGGTCTTGAAATATTGTTGTCTGGTGTGGCAGGAAAAGGCCAGAAAGGTCAGAGCTGAGAGGCGAATCAGGTGAACTGCAGCTGACTTACAGGTGAGCGGTGGGCACTGAGGAGACGGGGTCTGCGCCTGCTCCTCAATAGTGCTGGACTGTGTTAACCCTGCACTGTCTGTACTGGTAGAGTCACTGGTGGCCGCTGCTCTCATCACAGGACACACATACAAACAAACATACAGAAACATGCTGATTGGCAGGCCACAGGGTGTTCCTAAAATCTGAGAGGAACTCATCATTTGTCCATCCATTAATCCACCTTAAACTCACTGGCTGCCAGTGTCAATCACATCTTTGAAAGGTATGCAATTCTAAGCCTCACGTAAACCAAAGGAAATCAGCAAATCATCAAGTTTATTGAATGCTATACTGCAAAATGACTTCTCTATTAGCTGGCTAAATGTTTTGGCACTACAAGCTATTGCTGCGCGTATTATCACACAACGCAAGATAAAAAGAGTGACACAAAGAGCTGATCTGCAACATAGAAACCAGCTGCACAAACCAGAAACTACAAAGAAACACAAGCTGGACATGACAAACGCGCTACACTTGTGCTCTGAAGTGAGCGCGCTTTCAGCATTAAGACACAGCAGCCTGATGTCTAATTTCAGAGATTAATTTTGAAATGAGAAAGATCACACACAACACAACCTTCAACAACGGAATTTATTACTGGCCTCAAATGTGCAGCAAATACCAGGACAAAATGGCATACGATTCTGCAGCAACGGTTTAATTACAGTTGGTTTTAGGAGACTGCAGCACAACTAAGTTTAAAGTGAAGAGTTTTAGTTCATCGTGTTGCAGAAGATTGGAAATCTGAACACAATCTGCTTGATATATCTTATTTGTTCTTTATCTTTAAGGCCTTTCCTGTTTTCTTCTTGTGTTTTGTGTTAGACACAAGCTCTTCTTACTGTTCACTTGAAGCACTTAAAACCACAAGTCAATTTTACCATAGTCACACATCACTTTATTCTACGTATTTACGCATTTCTATCTATACTCTATTCACAACTCCAGCCAATTTAATATGCATGTCTTTGTCCGGATTACCAGATGGAAACACAGCAAGAGCCCGGAGATTCAACCCCAGAATGTTCTTGCTGTGAAGGGATGGTGCAAACCACTGCGCACAACCTGAAGATTTAACATCCAGCCTTGTAGACAAAAGAGCTAACACTAATCAAGCAGATTCTTTCATCCAACAAATTATAAAAGCATTCAAACTCAGAGATAGACAATAGAGACATGATAAACAAAGGCATCTTGATTGCATGTTAGTGATGCTTTTTAAGATCAAGTGGTAGTAAATCCATGAACATCGCCTTAAGTAACAGGATTAACTCCTTTCTGGTAAGCTGCAGGTAGCTCTGTGCTACTTCTTTCAACTGAGAAACCTTAAAAGGTCATCCCTGAGGCTGAAGATAGCTTAATTAAAGGCTTAAGTGGTGTTTGATGGCAGCATACACACACTTACGCAAACAACAATCGAAATGAGGCAAAGATACCGTCACGTGGAACACACAACAGTGAGCTTTGGAGGTGTCATTACCAAGGGATCCTTTGTTTGGACTTATTCAGATGATGATGTAATTACTGTAAGAGCAGAATACTCCTGTTCTCTACACACAGCAGTGTTTACTCTCAGTCATTCTTTCTAATCCCTGCCGCAGATCCATGAGGTACTGCTCACCAAAGCCATGGCTTTCACTTTCTAATACAACTGTGATTAAAAGTCACAACGGGCAGAACTTTAAAGTGATTACAGCATCTTTAAAAACATTTGCAGATAATCCTCCAGAAAAGACAAAAAAATTACTTTGAAGTAATTAACGTTAGTTTCATTTGTTGTTTGTAGAACAATCTATCCCAAATAAATGGTAGGACTGCAAACCTTCATCCTGCTTTGATATTTAACTTTCTTATAGCTCAGTCACTTAAGTAAAAATACGAACCTTGCAACTAAGAAGAAGAAAAAAAGATGGTTCATTGCACTGAATTTTATTTGGCAACTGATTACCCATATGATTGCACAGGTCACCTGGTGGGATGCTTCTGACTCAGACCGACTGCAATCCTTCTCAGGACAGATTAGTAAATGTTTGTATATAATTTCCATCTGATTCACAAACAAACATTGTCATCAATCTGAGTCAGTCAGCATCAATGACCACAACTCATCTGCGGCATGGCTTTTTACAGCAAGGACCCAAATCAACTGGTTGCCAAATGGTTGTATTCTGGTTCTAATGCTTTATAAAAGCAAGGTTGCAGTTAAATATCTGTCCTGGAGCAATACATCTCTCTTTATGGAGAAATCTTCTGAGTATAAGTAGTTAATGTGAATTTCTGTGTGTAGGAAGCAGCAGATTCGTGCCGACTTGTCACCGTTAACTCCCATACCATCACAAGCAGACTGCATTTAATTGCCAACCTGACATTATTCAATCAGGACTGACTCCTTTGTCATTTCATTGCCGTTCTGATGCACCAAAGTTTCTTTGACGACTGCAACTGACTAGTCACACACCTGGACCCCGTCTTATAGCATCTATTTCAACGCCAACAAGCTCACAAGTTCACATGCTTGCAATATTTTTGGTTATTTTCCTTAGTGTGAGTGCAGCATTGAGGACAAGGCTCGCCCATTAGGCCCTCCTACAGGAATTAGTCGAGACAACAGAAAAAGCATATTATCTGGCATAGCAGTACTGTTTAAGTCAGTCAACATGCACAGCACAGCGTTCAGACGTAGCGTTTCTTTCCTGCAATGCTCCTCCAACTCCAAAACGTACTGACTATCCCAGCCTGAAGTGCTTTTTGTAGTGGAAAAGCAGAGTTGACAGATTCCTGAAAGCTCTACCTAGAGGACATGCATCACCTTAACATAAAGCGAGGAAATAAATATTTTGTCTTTTTTTTTTTTTTTTTTTTAATCTATCTGATCTGGATTGGATGCAAAGTGAACCAATGCATGCAGAGTAGGTGAAAGTTGGACAAGTACCTTTCCTACCTTTCATCTCCTCCTCTTCAATGTTATTACAGCTCTCAGTGGAGCCCTGTCAAACACAAAGGGGTGAGACAAAAAGAGAGGTGGATGGAGAGAGGAGGAGTGGGTGGAAGAGGAAAAAGTTGGATAAGGGAGAGGTGGACAATCATCTTTTAATTTGTAGCTGAGACAGGTTTGGGATGCTTTAGACGCCTATAAAAACACAGAGACAACCTGATGGACAGATGGACGGGTACATGACTCCCTCCCAGGAGCACAAACCAGCCAGAACAGCAGCGAAGAGAAGCGCAGAGAGCCACACATTACGGCAACGTGTGGGAGCAGTTTAAAATGAATTTTTAACAGGAAGGCGTGTGTAAGAGAAGATTAGTGCAGAACCGCTTCTCGAGAGGAAACATGCCCATGTGGCAATGTGAGAAAAGTTTCAGTGTACAGGAAATAGTGCAACACCATCAGCATTTGAATATGTAGTGACACTGGTATTTAACAAACGTGTGTGCACCAACACAACAGTGAAAGCTGTGCGGCACTTGGTTCCTGTTTTAGTAAAGAGTCTGTTTGTGCGTGTAGGATTTTCTCTTTCACATAAGGAGTAGTAGTAGGGTACCATGAGTATTTGCAAGTTTGGAAAAGGCAATGAAAAGTTTGTAGTCTGTCAATATCAGGTGCTCTGAGGGGAAAAAAACTGAGGATCAACTAAACCATCTCAAAGGGAAGCAGATTGAAAATAATAATAAAAAAAAAAAACTATGAAAATATCAAAGGTTGTATTCCTGTGTTCTTACATAAGCAGATTATCACCTTAAACATGAAGTGTATAATTATTTTAATGGTGGTGTATGCAGAAATATTAGAGAAAATCCTCCACGAGTGTTAGTAGTAGTGGCTGGTGGCTTGAGGCTGGAGTAGAAGCAGCTTACCTTGGTGCCGTCTGCTGGGTTGTGTACAACAGTTGTCTGGGCTTCCTGGGGGGAGGTAGGAGACACTTTACCATGCAGGGAGTGTATGATAGGGAGGGGGTGGGCACCAGCAAAAGATGCCAGGGAATATCATGACGACAGACGCATGAGGGCACACCAAAACAAAGCACAGTGCAGAGGCTGTGGAACATTTATGGTAATAAAAATCCATGATTGTTGATGTCAAGGCGCTCAGTATCAGTCTGTTTCCCCATTCACCAGCACTGTGGCCTACAGGACTGTTTTAGAACCTCCGAAATGGATGAAAACAGCCATGAACACAGCTATACACATATCCACCACCAGCCAAGGCCATGACTGAGGAGGAGGGGTTTGCAATTTGTAAACCATATTACAAAAACCTACACATAGCTATAGTGACTTTAAAGCTAAGCTAGTAAATGGATAAATACTAGATAATATTTCACATCTCAACCCTCCATCCCATGTGGGCTGAAGAGTGGTTTAATGGTGAATTGTGTTTGTGCAACAACTCCTCATCCCCAGCCTTGACCCTGTGACATAAACATTTAGCACAAAGCAATTCAAGAGCTCAAGTACTGGACAGTGTGGAAAACAAACCCACGGTATCCTGGTTTAGTCAGTCAGGAGCACTTGCATGATCTCCACCAACCCTGGACCCAACTTTTAGAAGATGCAGCCCCTTCAGTGACGTATGGGATTATGCAGAATTTAAAGTATTACAAGTAATGGCAGCGAGACGACAGTCCCAGGTTGTAAACTCTTATGGGGACTGGTCCAGTTGTTGGGAAGGCAGTCTGTGCTCTATAAGAATCAAATATTATTTATATATATATATATATAAATGCATTCTTGCAGATTAAAATAAAAATACTGATGCTGTTATGTTTGTGTGGTAAATGTCGTACATAAATGATGGAAGCCTTTTATAAAGCTTTAAACTGAGGATTTTGACTGTTGAGATCTGCTGTTTTGAAACTGGAGAGTGTGGGCTGGCTCTGACAAAAAAAGGCAAGCTAAGGTAAGATAAGTTTACCTTCTTTTTAACATTATTTGGGACTAAATTTAGCAAAAAAGGTCTTATTTGTTTTAATGTAATCTTTATTTTTACAAGTAATCCCACTGACATTCAGACAAGCATGACAAAATTACAACAATTAAATACCAAATCTTTTTTTTAATATGTTAGATTCAATAAGACTAAAAGCTAGCAATAAAGACTGGAAATATCTTGTTAAAGAAAACAAACAGTATGAAATGACATTTTGAATTTATAGAGAAAGTTAATTACTGGAAACATTCTTAAGTCTTCAAAACGCCTATTTGTGCTAGATTTTGTTACTTAGATGTTTTGGTTTAGTCTTATGCTAGGCTTAAGACATGATAGGCATGATACTTATGTCAGGAGACAGAAAGTTTTTGTATTAATTAGAAATGAAGTACACATTCAGTGCACATTTCCTTGTCGTGTGTTATGTTGCCATCGTTTCCATTTAACCAACCTGAGACAAACATCATACAAACTCTTGTATGTTGTATAAATGACTCGATCCCACAAACACAGGGGCTGCATCCTCTTGCAAAAATATGGCTTGTTTTTCATTTGTCAACTCAGGCTGCTGTTTTACCCAGAAGCCCCCATCATTTACCATTCAGAAATTGAAGAGCAATTTGTGAAAGGTCATCTTTTGATGTAGAGGCAATAACCTCCACTTCAGAGGCAAAGCATCAACAAAGCTCTGGTGACATAGTTGAACACACAAAGGAGTCACAAGGATGTGGTTGAGCAGAACTTGATTGAAGTGTCTGCTGTTGTACTGGAAAATGAAAGTCATTTGTCTACCTGTCAGGCACCGGGTAAATATATGAAGGTGTGTCCACGGAGGTATGGGTAAAACACAAGCCAGGAGAGACAAACTCAAAGGGGCAAGCCAGTCATTTAATTTTAAAGTCATCAAATTCACCGCCAAGATCACAGTTTGTGTTCGAAACGGAAGCAGAGACACAGACAATGATCGATGAGACAGAGGACAAGGAAAAGGTTTTACTTAATACGGGAAGCGACAAAAAGATTATGAGGGGATAGAACTAAACGATAAGAAGATGGGAAACAATGAAATGATGCTATTAAAAGCAAAGAAACCAAATAGAGATGAGGTACCATTGGTGCTGAAGATGACATGCTGCTGTCTTTGGTGCTGCTGCTGCTTACTACACTGTTTTTACTGTTGTTTCCCTGCGACTGGGGCAAAGAAACACAACACAGAGTGACTCCCACTCCTCCCACTAAACCATGAACCAAGCTATGGGAATCATAGGTGGAATAAAGGAATGGAGCCATTACACGGACTATACGCTGCACAGTCAGGGCAAGAGCTGTATGTGCAGATGTTAAACTTAATTTATTTATCTGCACCTTCCTATCTTTGCATTTTAAAGGGCAGGTGCAATCATCAGTATTTCTGCTCTGCATGTAGTTTTAACGTTTCTTTTCATGATCATAGAACTCATAGATACAAAGTAACCAAAACAAAATATTTTTATGCCTTTAATAAAATTGTGAATTGTTAACAGAAAAGTGCATTTTAACAATAAGCATATATTAAGGGCGAATGACTTATTTTCTTCCCCAGCACTTAAAAAAATGTGAATCATTTGCTGAGATAGAAAGAGAAATCAGTCTGTATCTAAAGCGAGCTCAGCAGTCCAGGTCTGTGCATGCAGTGAAAGGCCTTGGGTAGCAGGTTTTTCTCTATTGTGTGAACACATGCAACAGATATGTGGTTTAAGCTGTTTTTCCCCTTCATTAGCTCACGCAAAGATAACAGTAAAGCCTATTTTACACACAAAACTACTTAAAGGATCATCTTGAACAGATCCTATTTATGGCTTTGAGTTTTAAAAAGTGAAATCTGTCTAAACCTTTTTCAAATGTTGGCTGCTAATATAAAAAACACTCACAGCAACATTTAAATTTTAATTTTAAAGAAAACAAAATACAGCGGCCAACGATACCCCCTCAGCCTCCTAGTGGATACACGTGTTGTATCAATTTGAAAATCATACATTGCCTTGTTCTCAAGTTATTACATGGCATTAAGGTCGAGGTCACAACTTTTTTTTAGTAAATACACCTACGGTGGAATTTAAGCTCCTGTGTTTTTTCATTCTGGAGTTATTGCATTCAGGAACTTTGGTCCTGCCCGCACGGCAGGATGACGATAATACAACATCAGCCTTTTACAGCTGAAGGAAGGTTTAATTTTAAAAAATATGTTCTGAATTCATATTTCTGTTTAGCTATGATATAGGTAGTACAAAATGTAATTAAAATGACATTGGCTGCACTCTTGGAGAATCTACTAATATAATTAAAGTCATGAAGTGCAATCCAAGCTAGGAGACACATTTACAATGCGTTTCTTACTTCACTGTGGTGATTTGTGCAAGCCATAAAGAAACGTTCTGCAAAACTCGCCAAAAATTAGCTTTTGTAAGCAAAAACAAAACAAAAAACAAAACAACCAGGTACAGTAAAAAAATTATTCAGCAGGCAGAGAGGGTATGACAAAAAGATGGTGTTGATTGCATTATGGAAAATGTAGGATCTATGTGTTTAGAGAGCTTAAAAACCATAAGGACTACACGTTTGGATATTTCTGTCCTTTTAAGCATATTTCTGTCTTGCTTACGAGTTAACATAATTTTTCACTCGCTTGCTCCTAAAAGCTGTAGTAATGTTTCCGCTGGATGACTAAGATATAGGTTATGTTACAGCTGCAGACTGAGGCTGGAATGTATGATGTGAACAAGAGAACACTGTTTCAGCTGGACTCTCCTTTTGGCCTTGAGCTAACTGGAAGGAAAGGGGAATACAAATATTCCCACAGGAAAGTTGAGAGGTGTGGACGAATGGATTACGTCAGTGAAAGATTAAGGCCAAAGTGCTGGGAGTTTTTAGCTGTTTTTCTGCAACTCTCAGAAGAGCAAATTACCCCAGTGTGACTTTAAACAGTATTTTGGCAGTCTCTGAGGCCTACTAGGAACAACTTCTAACAGAATAACTAATGTGCAATGCTGACACCATCAACAAGGCAGATTACAGATTTGACATCTTTTACTGCATTTCAGGGCTGGAGGAGAAACATTTCTCATGAATAAGAAACATTTAACTTTCAAGAAGTTCAAATATAAAAAATATATTTCCACCTGCAATCATGACAGCATTGTGGAGCCACTTTGTTCGGACCTAATTGATCAAGGTCATGAGCCGACATGTAGCCTTGTTCCTCTTTCTTTAAAAAACCCCATATCTGTTAACTTGGTGAATCTGAGCACTTCAGTGCTATTAAAACAACTTGAGCAGAATTTGGAATAGAAAAGCACAGAAACACAAACATGAGGTCCTTTTAAGATTATTCCCCCCCAAGCCTCCTCAAAAAGGCTGTTTACCAGAATCAAAATATTCAGAACAGCATGTTATTAATGTCTGAAAATGCTAATTAGGCCTCAAACCGAGATATATCTTAGTACAACCTGCAATCTTGAACCTCAGTTTCCATCTACAAAAATAAACAAAACTGTGTAGTACTTTTCTTTTAATAAAGTTTTATGTTCTTTTGAAAGGGTAACGTCTTTTGGGAGAGATGAGGATAAACTGGACTTTGTATTTAAAGCAGCTAAAGCAATTATTTTGTTATGTTTTCCACAGATATGCAAACCTACCACTAATAAATGTACACTATTAACTAGTTTTGTATCACTTTTACTTTGGAAAATAATGTAGTGAGGGAAAAATGTAGCCATCCAAACAGATCAACAGACCTGAAAAATAAGAAAACAATCTTTTTACTTGATTATTTTATATTCAGAATTTAGAAGCTCACACTTTCTCTAGCTCATATCGGAGAATTTATCTGCAGGTGACAAAGACAGCCGTTTTATTTACGGTAAAAAGGGGAAAGAAGAATTCACTTAAATGAAACATAATGAGGGTACGATAAACATGCAACAACTGAAAAAAAGAAAAATGGTGGTATCTTGAGATTAGCAGGGATTCAGTTGTCCCACGGTGATGGTCAGGTATGAAGCGAAAATGCAGATCCATGGGTCAATGAGTCGCACATCAGAAGGGGGTAACTGGATAGTGAAGAGCGTGTGTGTGTGTGTATTATTTCTTTAAATGGTTTTGGTGGCGCTTCCAGAGGAAGGGAATGCAAGGATGTTGTATGAATTTGGAAAAATCCAACAAAAATTGCCATAAACGACCCCTAAAGCATCTCTGCACAAAAGGAAAAAAAAATGAAACAGAGAGGGTAAAGGGAGAGCTGGACGGGCAAAGACTCGCAAAGAAGACGGACAAAAAAAAAAGAAAAAAAAAAATGAACAAAAACGACAGAGCCGATCTCACCATCAAACAAACACTTGAGCTGGACTTCCTTTTCTGACAGACAGCAATGGAAAAGAGGAGGGAAAAAAATAAGGATTCATCGGGAACTAATCAAAAAAGACAAAAAGGTGAAGCTGCCAGATTGATCCCAGAAAGATAGTAAAAAACAAAACAGCTGCACAAGCTTACACAGGAATAAAGATGAGATAAAGGGATTCAGAAAAATCTGAATCAGCTGCAAATAAAAAGGGGGGTTAAAAAATAGAAAAAATATTGGAAATTATTTTATTGGTGTTCATTAACTGGTTGTGCATTTTCTAATGTTTAAGGGTTTAGTTACTGTTTAAGTTACTGTATGTAATGGGAGTTTTGTTTTGCCCTTGGTGAGTACGGCAGTTCATTGCATGCACTGACGCTGACTGTTGATCAAAACAAAAATCGCTGTGAGTCAAAGAAAAGCGGCTGGTTAAAAACACCATTTTAAAAGCTTTTTAATCTTTAGGTAAGCTCGTTAGAGCAGGGATAGCTCAGTAGGTAAAGTGGTCGCCCCATGATCGGAAGGTCGGCGGTTCGAATCCACTTAACGGCTACCCTGAGGTACCCCTGAGCAAGGTACCGTCCCTACACACTGCTCCCCGGGCGCCTGCTTAGTGGGCTGCCCACTGCTTCACTGAGTGAATGGGTCAAATGCAGAGAAAAACAAGTAATTTCCCCATGGGGATCAATAAAGTATCCATTATTATTATTATTATTATTATTATTATTAGATCTACTTTAATCTCAATGTGAGTTAACTGATTTCTTATGAACATAATCAAGTACCTAGTTCATTTCTAAAATAAATCCTATCCCCCTAAGTCACAAAAATCTTTAAAATATATTAAACAGACTTTAGAAAAAAGACCATGTTGCACCAGAGGACAGAGGTGATCTAATTGATCTTGTTCCATCATATCACAGTTAAAAATGGTCTCAGACAGTAATTAGGGGGACAGACCAAAAAGGAGATAAAGATAAGGAGAGTAAGTTAAGTACATAAGTCACATCAAGAAAACCCTCATGGGTCAGAGAGCTTACCTTCACACCGTCCGACTTTTTGTTTAGTAAGGTTTTACACGCTGAAAGAAAGTGAGAAAAGATGATGAGGACGCAGTTTAAGGGGGACAGCTGTCCAATCAACAGAAGAGCTGAAATCACTCAGTCAGCATGACAAAAGACGGCCTAAGAGTTTATCAGGTTTGACAAAACTGACTTCACATTGATATTTCTAACAGCAGAGCTGTTGTATGATGGACGATCCCATCAAAAAGTTTACTTTATGAACCACTGTGGATAAACAGGGAATTAAAGAGACTTCAGTAGTGATGATACAGACAAAGCAAAATGATAACGTGAAAATCAAAAACACAACTTGTTGGCAAAATTGAAATCACTGTATAAAAACAGACACATCGAGGTAGCCCCATTCATAATTATTTTTCATTATAATGTACACTACACTGACTATGCAGATTGTTTTGCCCAGTAACGTGCAAGTTCCGCATTTTATTTCCACTGCATTGTTACAGTTTGTACACCAAGATTGTAAAATTTATTTAGTTAAAAAATTAAATGTCAGTAATTCACAACTATTGCAGTAAAATAACAGTAAAATCATTAAAAAATTTATACAGGGAAACAATTAAAAAATTCAAAAAGGTGATTCTGATTGTGAGAGCAGGTCAGCATTACGAGTTCCTAGTAAAACCACATGTTAATTTTCTGAGCTTTAAAGCTCATTTTAAAGTTGGTTTCATTTGTTTATGGTACTGTGTGGATTTCTGGCTCAACCATAATTTTGGGTCCAATAATCCTCTAAACTGTCAAAATGTTAAACAATAAACACTTTTTGTTCACTTTCCACAGTAATAACATCAGTTTCAGCTCAGTTCATAACACTTCTAATATTTCATATCCTGCTCTAGTGTTTGATTTTATTTGTCTGCTTTCAGGGGGCAAATGAGAATTAATACATGACTAAGCTTATGAATGAGTAAAAGAGCTATTTTTTTTTATCTTTACCTTGTTTTTTGTTGAAACAAGTAAAATATACATATATATGTTTAATGTCAATTACAGAACTGCTGATAATTTATTTAATAAGATTGCTTTGGCCACGTCAAATGCCACCTTCATCCCTATAATCTAGTTTATGTTAGGAGGCATGTATGTGAACCTGAAAACCTGACCAGACAGTTTTAACACACAAATGACACCACTCCACCTGACAAAAAGGAAACGTAATAAAACACATGCATTAACACACAAACACTCACTAAAAATAAACATTTTACCAACAATCATTTGTCTTTGAGCCATGTTCCAATGATTCACCCTTACCTTCCATTCAAAAAGAAGGAAGGATGGCAATGAAAAAGGTAAGAGAACAGTAATGTATTTAATATCTGCATCTTAACATCTGAACTGAAAGGTGACAACTGCAGGCAACACCTGTCAGGCTGTTACTGCGCGTTAAAAGGCATTCTTTAATCATTTTCACAGCGGTGATGGTTCATGCAGTCATCAAAATGTCTGGCATGCAACATCAACTTCAAAGTCTTCCTCATAAAAGGAGCCGAGTGGTGCTTTCTCAGCAGAAACCTTTAACTTCAGGATGTCATCTGTACAAATTCAAGTCTGATTTCTTCACTGTAACACTGTATGTGACAACACTGAGTCTTGTTAAGTGAAGAAATTTGACAGTTGGAATTGAGCAAAAAAAGGGAAAGTCATTAACATTTTATCGGCAAAGCATCCTCTTGTTAATCAGACTGTTTTTTCCTGTATGACCAGCTTTTAAAGGGGACCCATTACACTTTTCCTTATTTTCTGTTACTTACATAATGTTGCAAGGGTTCTTATGAAACGTGGCACATCACTTGTATCATCAGCGAATGTACAAGTGAGCTCTAAGCACTTTAAATTTGGTTTTGCATGATCTCAAAGAGTGTGGATATTCCTATTACAGTAATCTCTACTTTTGAATATAGCAGCCCCGCCTACCTGCTGTTCAAACTCCTGTTTGTGAGGTGCAACCAATCAGAGGAAAGCAGTGTTAAAGCTGCTAGCTTCAGTCAAATGATGAACTAAGTGTCCTCTGTATAAGATTAAGGAACTTTTAACTATGAATTCCAAAAATAAAAATATACAGCTGAAAGAAAAGCTTAATAAGTCCTCTTTAAGCAAGCAGCCAGCACTGTCATATGACCCACACGTGTTAAAGGTTCAGTATGCTTCAAACAAACTAATTAGTTTGAGCATGCCTGAAAACAAAACTGTCCTGAATCATCACCCTCAGAGGTAGAGCTAAAGGTTTGCCACTGGAGAACAAGATGTAATCTCTTAAGTAACGTAAAGGTTTATTGGGAGTTAAGGGAGATTTTAACTAAATGAAAAATCATTAGCTGCAAATGTGATCTGTCTTAGTTAAAAAATATCAGTAATGTGAAACCACAAACCAAAGCCATCCACGTGCTGATACCCCACTAAGCGATATCGCTGTGTTTGTGTTAATATATATCTGCATAATGATGACCTGATAATGGCATAAGCACTTTGTTTGAAGCAAACTGTTTTTTTTTCCTTTTTAGTTGTATTTGCTCAAACAAAAACAAGAGCAGGCAGGAGAGAGGAGACAAAGAAAATAGTTAACACAGGACACTTTGCATTCTGTTTATCCAGCTTCCCATGCAGGTTGGCAAACTGCACTGTACGCTCATAAACATGCTTGGCTGGCTGTTGGCGCCAGAGCCATGCCAAGGGAAGGTTGCAGCGAGCACAGGCAGGCATCGACTGGGCATCAGTACTGTGGATCCAGATCAATTTGAAGAAGGCAAAGCTGCAAGAGTTCCGAGTTAAATACTGGAATTTCTGTTCATATTGGTAATATAAATGGCGATGCAGCAGAGAAAAACAACCTGTGATATATGTGCTAATGCAAAGATATATAACCTGAGCTTTGCTTGGTGACAGCTGGGGTAGTTGGAAGAAGGTCCGAGGGTCATGCTGGGTGTCATTTAAATGGCTGTTGTGTTCGACACAGGAAATTAAATATCCAGTCCTTGAGAGGTGGTCTGTTTATTAGACCATTAGGAAGCCCAGGAGTACTGAAAGGTCAGTAGCTGAGCTTCATCTGCGGCTTTTATTTATATGTTTGTCTGTGACTGTAAGATGCCCCAGTGCAGTGATGACCACATAAACGTGATCCATCAGTGTGCAGGCAGCAGGTGGTTGTGGTGGTGGGGGGAGGGGAGGGTTCAAGCAGCCCAGGCCACATGCCAAAAACCTCAGCACGAAGCTGGCAGTGCCCGACTCCAACACCCCCTCTAGCAAACGTACCTTCCTGAGCCATTGCGGCTGTGCTGGTGGTAGCGGCAGGACTGGTGTGCTGCCGTCCCACTATTAGACAAAGAGGAATTCAGTGCGCTACTGGGAGAGAGACCCACTAAACCATGAAAATCTCCTTCTTTTTTCTTTAATAACTTTTTGTGCTTCCAAGAGACCTGCTTACTGTTTTTGACATTTTAATTTAATCAATAAAATGATGTAATACCAAACTTCATTTTTATTAGGATGAAGTGAAGCAACAGATGGGAAAATCTTGTCAGAAATAAAATGTCTGAGCCCCAACTTACTGATTTTACTTCTTTGTTTATTCTACAGTGAATAAACAAGCCTAGGCTTACGAACAAAGCATTTCAGAGGTCTGGCTGGTCTGCTTACTTCAGTCTGGATCAGTCTTAGCCTTTACAAAGTAGATGGACATAATCCAATGGAGCTGCTTTGCTTACATGAAGGCATATAAACACAGGGCCGATAGCATTAGTGCATTAGCTTGCTAGTCCATTGTCCAGCCCGCAAATTGGTTGTTCAATCAAAAGTGCACTGTGATCAAACTGCTTATGAGGATGAAATCCAAGCCAAACCCCTGAAGTGCAAAATCAAATCCAATCGGTGTGGCTAAGGGAAGAAGATGGTAGACTGGAGATACAGTAGCAGAACAACAGTGACATGTATCACTTGGCTTCTATGAGAGATAGGATCCGGAAAGAAGTGCGCTCCTACTGAGTGTTGACAATTTTAAACTAACTACAAAAGCTCACCTGAAAAGTTCCTGGACACGAGCATCGTAGTGAGGATAGCTCCCTAGAGTCAAGGCAAATAATATACAAGATTATAAGCATAAGCTAGTGAGTTATGTGTATGTTTAACTGTGTTCGTGCTTACTTTAAGCTTCCTTCTGGCATTGAACTTGCGCAGACATTCCACAGTCTCTTGACGGTGCATCATGGAGGCCACAGTGGATCGTTGCTTTAAGTAAAGAGGAAAGGGCAACATTAAGTATATCACTGTTACACCGTCAATGCCACTTTTTTAATAACTTGTCCATTTTTATACTGGTAAGACCTAAAGTTAGGGGTGCAGCCATATTGGACAGACAGGTATTCTTACACAGGCAGATGTACCCAGTCACTGTCTGCTAGGCCTCACCGGTGCTATTCTGAACAAGACCTTTTAATTATATCTGTGCTTTTGGAATATTTTACCGTTTATCGCATAGTTATCACCTGGTAACCACCGGTTATCAGATAAAAATGTGTATTACCAGTTGGCAGTTGGTTGTGGGAGGCTGCTTGCTATCTTTTTAAAGAAACCGGTGGCAAAGTGAGTCACAAAGAGGGTGCTGCACTAATAATCTCCTTGTGATAGCTTTGGTCACTAGCAGATTTCCATGGTCACCCAGCAGAGGATGCCTGCTTGTCTGCAAACACATGCCAACTATTCTGTAATGAAACTGGAAATGGGGACAGTTTCCCAACAAAGTAAAAGCCGCACCTTTTAAAACATAATGGTTTCAGCAGTAATGCACAACATTTACTCTGAAGGCAAATGTTCTCCATTTTCAGTATGCGTAGCAATTTAAGTTTCACTACCAAGTCAGTTGTTGAGTGTTTGCGTACAAGTCGGCAACTTCCACGCAAACTACTGGTGACTTTGAAAATCCACCTGCGAGAAAACCAATTACAAGAAGGTTTTTAATGAAGCACCCTCTCTGCCAGCAACCATTTGCCAATCAGTAGGGAAATGCACACTTTTCCTTAGCGACTGGTCTCTAGGTCTCTGTGACTGAGGCCAAACCAATCTTAGCTGGTAACTTAGCACTCCACCCTCTTGTCTAAATATAGTGAATATAGAAGAGGTGGTGGTGGTGGTCACATACACCACCTTTTCTATAGCACTGACACTGAAGCATCTATGTGTAAGCATCCATCTTCTTTATAGAGCCTGTATATGTATCGTTGACTTGAGATTGAACTCACAGATATGTGATGGGACGAGATGAAGAACTGCTTTAGAAAATCTCTTTGAAAAGATAAAAACCCATGAACATTAAAATACAAGAGGAAGGGACCGTGACTCCAAAGGTGCATTCTGGTAAGAAACATTTAATCACCATTTTGAGGCTATGACAATAATGGCATTGTGTACAACTGCAACAATGAATTCTTTTTAATGCTCTACAGCTCTGATATGCTCCCCTGAGTAGCTTTTCATCAACAGGCAGGAGCAGCTCATGTGTATTCCAACTCCTCTGTGATACCAAACAGAATGAAAAAGCCTGCTTTGTCAGGGACTTATAAATGAAAACTTTTAGAAGTGGGAGCTGTAAGGTAAGCCTACGGGGCTCTTACATTATCTGGGCGACTCCTTACTCAACTCCTTAACAATAAAAATGGAAATTATTGTCCTTGTGCTTTATCTGATAACAAACTACATTTATGCTGTTAAATTGTTATTGGTGTTAAAATGATGACTTATGACTTTACAGGTCTTTTCTGAGTTCCTTAAATGTGCGTCTTGTCCAAATGTGAGACAAATAAACCCAAACTTTTATGTCTCAACCTACAAAAAGCTACAAATTCTGCTCTAGTATATAATGTCATTCTGTGCATGTTTTTAAAACTAGCCATTTGGATCAAAGATGGTGCTGTTATTCTGAATAGCTGTGTTAGAAATGAAATACAATGTAAGACAGGTGTTCCTGGGCTGTGCTGATGTAAGAGTGCTTAAGAAAGAAAAACTGTGACATGATTTGTTTAAAGCTGGCAAGAAAAACTACATAAAAAACAAAGATAAAGACAAGTGTGACTTACGCAGACCCAGGGATGCTTGAGGGCCTGGTCGGCAGTGATTCTTTTGGCGGGGTTAATCGTTAACATTTGATTGATCAAATTCTTGGCCTCAGGGGTCACTGTGTCCCATTCAGGAGAAGGAAACTGAAGGAAGGCGAAGAGCAGGAAGAAACATATCACTGAAAAACTGGTAAAACAAAAACTGATGTTTCCAAGCCATGATTAACTTGCTGTTGTTTAGCATTGATTAGACATTTCTATATTTAGCACATATTTAAAATTTTAACACTGGCATTCCAGCACAACTGAGCAATAAAAAAAAAAAAAAAAAAGTTTGCAGAGCCCGAAGAATGCTTACGCAGATACAAGATCCAAAAAAGATGGTAGTAAAAGCTTTTCTTTTAATTGACTGTGATATTTAAATGACTGAACCAGATTTCCTACAGTGTTTGCACCTGTATTTACCCAACATGTAACAGATTAGAGCTGCAAACTGTATGATCATTTAGAAGGTGCAGCTCTCTCCTCATTGTGCATGCATTCAAAGGAGGGTAGGGAAAATTTCCAGCAAAATATATTTACAGAGGCAGGTTGAGTGAATTAAGGTTGTGCAACTTTTAACTCTGTAGGGCAAATATCCACACCTCTCAGGACCAGGAACAAACACAAGTCATAAGCGAGGTTGTAGCAATGAAAAGTAATACTCTAATTGCAGATTTACAGACAGCTCTTATCCATTAATAAATATAACTTTGTTTGTGCTAATCAATCGTGTCCATAAATTTTTACAGGCTATGAGCAGCTGATCAATGTTACCTCATAATAACATCCACGGCATGTGAGTAATTTGTTTATCTTTAATTTGTCATATTAAAACACTATCACAACACCCCCATGAACAGATTAGGTTAAATTGGCCTTCGTTTTCTCTCTGAGGATTAATTTGTCTTGGACACAGTTGAAGGAGCAGCACACATGTACAAACAAACGACAGTTAGCACCAGAACATACGCACATAGACAGGAAACACAATACTGTACACAAAAGTGTTGCGCAGATACCCTGCAACAACAAACGGCACATACCTTTCCAATAAGATATACATGTGCACACTCCTGTGGGGAATGGTTATTTCCCTCTTATGTCTGTATATATCATTGTAGGGTCTTTACCTTATAAACAACATACAACACCTTTAGGTGACTGTTTTTGTGATTTTAAAAAAGTATATTTTGCTTGTTTCTCTTTAAAACATATTTGACTTCATTTGTTTTGGAACAGTCTTAATATGTGAAGTTGAGCAACGATTTGTCTGTCTTTGATGGGCAATTTCAGTGGTATAACAAAAGGGTGGAGTCAGCAGACATGTTTACTGCTAAAAGTCAAAGCAAGCTTTCAACAGACTTTTACTTCAAACATATCAGATGTCAGTTACCGATGAAAGAAAAAAGCAGAAATTCAAGGTATCTGTGTGACAGTGATGATATCCAAGAAGTGCACATTATTATAAGTGCTCGTCAGTCACTTCATATTATTGTTCATATTATGCACATTCATTAGATGTGGTTGCTTCCAATTATGTAAATTAATATGGGTAATAAATTCCTATCTCCCAGAGGACAATGACGAGAGCTGATGAATAAGCCCATTGCTCTCCCATAGTGTATCAGTTATTTTTTCTGCAGCAAGATGAAAGTTATACAATGCCGAGTAGCAAGCCATTAAAAACTAAAATTAAATTTCTAAATTACTTGCATGACAGAATTTAGAGCATGTTATTTGACAACACTTGAAGTGATGGTGTCCTGCAGAGCTCATCTCGATGCTCCGGCCTTGTAGTTACGAATACACATGAACTAATTTGAAAACAGGAAATGATCAGAGTATCACAATTAAAGTTTCATGAATTCAGGTCGAATTCCCTCACAGATGTCATGAAACTTAACTCTCATTTCCATAGATGCAGGTACAAAAACAATGCAAAACGCCTGCTCTAACCTGAATACGCCCAAAACTATGTGTTCCATTAAAGTCCAAAGTGCTTATTGAAGCTCTAGTTAATAAGGTTTTTGTAATATTCTGAATCAAATGTAAATTCTTAAACAGTAGTTTTAAAGTAAAGACCCCCTTTTGTCTTCAGAACTGCCTTAATTCTTTATGGCATAGATTCAACAAGGTGCTGGAAACAGTTTGAGAGATTTTGATCCATACTGATGTGACATTTCATTTCAAAGTTGCTGCAGATTTGTCGGCCGCACGTCCATGACAAATGATCCCAAAGATGCTCTACTGGATTAAGATCTGTGGAGGCCATCTGAGTACAATGAACTTATTGTCGTGTTGGAAAACAGTTTGAGATGATCTTTGTGTGCATTTTTCAACTGGAAGCAGCCATCAGTAGACACTGCGGTCATAGAGGGATGGACATGGTCGGTAACAATACTCAGGAAGGTTGTGCTCAACTGATGCTAAAGTGGGCTAAAGTGTGCCAAGTATATATAACCCCATATCATTACACTTTCATCAGCAGCCTGAACAGTCGAACTTTCATGTTGTTACACCAGATCCCAACATTACCATCAGAATGTTGCAGCACAAATTGAGAGTCATCACATCATGCCACACTTTTACAATCAGTCATTGGGCAATGTTGATGAGCCTTTTTCAGTTCCAGCTTCAGTCCCTCGTTCTCAGCTGACAGGAGTGGGAACCAGTGTGGTCTCCTGCTGCTGTAGCACATGTGCTTTATGGTTCAACAGGTTTTCTGTTCAGAGATGGTCTTCTGATGGTCTACTTTGGTTATAATGAGTGGTTATTTGTTACTTCCCATCAGCCTGAAGCTGCATTTCAGTCATCATGTAACATAGAACTGGTGCTCACTGGATATTTTTCTCTTTTTCAGACCGTTATCTGTAAACCACACAGATGACTGTAAAATCCCAATAGATCAGCAGTATCTGAAAAACTTACACCAGCCCATATTCTGATGCTCAGTTTGAACTTCAGCAGGTCGTCTTGACCATGTCTACACATCTGAATGAGTTGCTGCCATATGACGGGATAATTAATTACTCACTTTAACAAGCTGTTAAATAGCCGTAGTTAATAAAGTTGCCAACAAGTGCATGTTACAGGGATATGCCTTACATAAAACAGTGGAGAATGAAATGGCTAATTCAGCTAGGAGCAGAGCTGAGTCTTTGACAGTAAAACCAAGAAAGAATCCCAACCCCAAGTTTCTGATGCTCCAGATGGAAAATAAACTTGTTCAAAAGAAGGATTACAGTATAAGAAAGGAGAAGAGGTCCCAGATTATGATTTTTTCCAAATTGGGAGATTTGATCAGATTTCAAGTACCATTTTGCACGTGGATTGGGTCAGATCCTGTAACCGCATCATCCTACAAAATTACCACACACCCTGATAATAATTGCTGTGCTATGATTTGAGCTTTTTTTTAGGAGTAAAATGATCAATTATAGAGAAATATAGAAGCAAAAAAGTACCTTTGTCAGTGTTTTTCTACTTTATTTATCCCAATAAAAGTTGCTGAATCTAGCAACAAAGTAATCTGGAGTTTGATGAGAAAGTGCTATAGAAATACATATCCTACCGAATTTTTACCATATGCAGGTTGCAGGTAATTCCACCCCCAGTGTGTCTGTTTGCACAGCCTTTATTAGTGAGCGTCATTTGTTTGTCTCTGCTGACAGTGCCTCTGGCTCTTATTTACACACTCACTTATAATTTAAATACAGGTTTTACAAGCTTTATGGTCTGATTACTAAGGAACTGTCACTTGAAAAATTATACTAACAAACCTTCAGGCATCTATCTATAGTTTAGCATAGCAAAAGCATGGACGTGCATGGAAAAAGCACTAAAAAGAGAATATCAGTTTAACTCACCAAGCGGTTGACTCTTATATAATACAATATTTAGGCCAAGATTGTCCCGTGTATGCTGGATCTGTTTGTTTTAAATCAGCTCTAATATGTCATAATTGTAAACGCTGTGTCTCCAGCCTGATGTTGCACTCTGGGAGGAGTTAAAAACTTAACTTGTGTTCACACAACTAGTATTTCAGTATATATTTACAAACTATATTCAAGTTTAGCCACCATCAAGGTTAAAAAATGCAACTCTGATAGCTCAGAATCCTCCAAACACGACACCAACAATCCAAAGCAGACACAGAGAGTCATAGGGATTTGTCCCTCCCTAGGAAATGTAAACATTACAAAGTCTTGTGTCGTTTGTGTAGCTGGCTGTGTCTGCAGTACACAGAAAATAAACACACAGTCAAAGTGATATTCTCCGTCCACTGACAATGCCATGCTGGAATTCAGTTCTGCACAGTGCAATCATTATTCTGCATCATAACTGTCTGCACATATGACAATACAGTTCAAAAGGAGAGGGTGGTTAATACAAGAATGTGAGTACTTACATCATAAGCACCAGCCTTAATTTGTTGGTAGAGTTTGTGTTGGTCCTCATCCCAGAATGGAGGGTAGCCCACCAGCAAGATATACAGGATCACACCTGACACACACAAATGTAAAAAATACTGTACATACACAGTTAAAAAGAAAAAAAATGTTTATTTGGGCTTATAGCAGAGTTGAGGGCATTTATCACTTAAAATGATGTGGGCTGTTGTTTATGAATCTGGCTGGTTGTGTTTCGGCCGAATATATCAAATATTTAACTAAAACTTACTGCAGGGAAAAGACTGTTACAGGAACGTTACATGAAGTTGTTGCTTAAAGATTGCAAAGTCAGATGAGTTGTGAAAGACATGGTAATGCTGTAGTGAACCCATATCTAACAAAAATGGAGAAAACAGGTCTGCTAGGAAATGACTGTGCCTACAGTCTGAAAACTTTAGGACTGACCACATGCCCATATGTCCACTGGCTTGCCATATGGGTCCTTTCTCAACACCTCTGGGGACAGATACCCCGGAGTTCCTGCAAAACCTGCAAATATAGAAAAATACAAGCATGTTATACCTATATACAGTACACAGTGTGACTTCTGATTACTACTACTACATTATGACAGGTTTCATACATCTTTCTGTGCTTTGTGCCAGCGCTGTGTTTTAAACAAATTAGCAAGCTGAGATGATCTAAACATTCAGTCTTCATCTCTTTGTGCTACTTACTCCAGCAGAACTGTGCATAAGTCTTGAGCTTCTTCTAATTTCTTTATATTCTCCTTCCAAGAAGACCATCCTTCTTGTATTTTTTTTAAAGTGGACTTGAGCAATAGCTATCCAAGTTCTTCTTTGGAGATGGTCTTCTTTTTCACTCATTTTCAGTACATTCTTTGCATTAAAGCATTCCCAAATAGTGACAGTGGAAGGCTATCAGTCATTGATTGGCCTTCCCAAAATTATCGAAACAGCATGAGATCATCTTGACAGAGAGAATGGAACAAAAGGCAGCCAGCAGCCAACAGCCAAAGACGGGCTTTGCATGTCCTTCAAGAAGCCTGGACTGAAAAAGGTAAATAACTTACAAGAAAGCGTGCGTAAGAGATTTCAGACTATGTTGAAGAATAAGGGTGGTAATGAAAAGTTTGTTAGAATTTTGTAAACTTTGTTTTGGCATTAAATATTGTATTTCCATGTATGTTTACACATTTCAATAAATTCCAATTGTCCCAGCAAATGATAAAGATGTGAGGGCTTCCCTGAGGCTTTTGCACAGCACTGTATATCACTTTAAGCCTATCCTGTTTGCTGCATTTTTAAATGTAAACCTCAAATTTATGATGTTACATGAACATCAACAACACATCATTTGAAATGCTACAGATTAAGTTTAATAAATGATCTTTCTTACCAAACCACGCCTGCTGTTCCCCTTGAACCTCAATAGCGAGGCCAAAATCTGCAAGCTTCACCGCCGCTCCCTTCATCTTACTGGCCAGGAGCAAATTTTCTGGCTGCAATACAGAGACACAAATAATTCTTCAGAATGAAGAATACCTTTACCCTAGTGACTGATTTTATTATTATTATTTTTGTCAGACAAATCTCAAGTTAGAAAAGAAGTTATAAACTGTAATTATTATTAAATAAAGGACAAACAAATCCTCACCTTTTGGTAATCTTTGATAAATTATTTCCATTCCCCAATAGAATAAAAATAATGAATATAATAGCAGATTGGTACACTTGTACTTGAACAAACTTGTTTTATGTGATAAACATACACTTGATTAGAGGCAACAGAGATGAGCATGTGCATGACTTAGAGAAATGTCCTTTCTGTCTGGATGACTGAATGGGCCGCAGGAGCATTATGACATCTACAGTAGTAATGAGCCATGATGCTGTCAAGTTGGCTACAATGGTTTTCCCCAAAGCAAAGACCTTTCCAATCAGCTGTCACAGGATTTAACACAGCATTCTTACTCGGTCCCTCTGATGACACTATTGTGCAAAAGGTCAAGACTTGGCAAGCATAAGGATGCATCAAGTGTGTTTTAACTCATTTCCTCTTTTGCCTCTTTCCCTTATGTCACAGCTGTTTTTTTAAAAATAGATTAATCGTGTTACTTGATTATGAGTAGCAGTGTTTTATTTCAACTTGTTTCAGGTTTTTCATTCTCAACACCAGGTAAACATAATTTACAGGTTGTCTCTGTCCAAGTGGCAGTATCTACTTTTAGCCCTCTCAGACTTTAACTGGGACCAGCTTAGAGCAGTAGCTCTGCATTACTTAAAGTTAAAATACCCTCATTACTCTTGCACTGGGCCTTGATGGAGCACATTAGTTCATCCTGTGTTTGAAAAACACCATTTAAACATCATTTCCTTCTTTTAAATCAACTTTATTCTGATGGCTGCACCTTATAATCAGATCATAGATCAGCAGGCCTGTGTGGCTTCTTACAGTTAGATGTTTAACCTCCATGGCCATATTTCATTATCCTTTATTTATCCAGGTAAAAAGTCTCATTGAGATTAAAATCTATTTTTCAAGAGAGACCTGGCCAATATTAAGGATAGCCCATGTCTTAAACAGAGCATTTAGAGGAGTCTGTAGCCTGAAATTATGACTCACAGGGGTTACTTTCACATATACTGACCCCATTATTCGAAATAATAATTATGTTTAATATATATTTGAAAATGAACTGATCCTGCTTAAGCAACATTGCATGCTTGATCATGTTACTAATACTGCTCTAAGTATGAGGAATATCATCTTAACTGAAGACATGGTTCACTTCATCCTGTTAGCAATTTCTGGTTTCATGTTTCTGACATTTTAGAGTTACACCTTAATTCTCCATAGCAGCTATTCAAAATCAGAGGGGTAAACAAAGTGCACTGAAGTCTCACATTAGGCTGGTGCAGAGTGTAGTTAGTTAGAATGCAATGGAAACTGCAACGTCACATCCAGCCAGCATTCTGATCTCAACCACGTGTGAAACAAGTCCGTACAGTCTAACCTTGTTCTTCAGAAACCTGATTCATCATTTCAAGTTAAAACAACAGTTAAAATTGTCCAGGTAAAGCTTTCCCCAATTTTCCTAATTACTTCTCCAATTCAGGGTTGGATGGAGCTGGAAGCCTATCCCCACTCACACTAGGCAAAAACGTGGGGTCAACACCGCAAAGGCTGCAAGTCAGTCATAGTGACATGTACAACTGCATCCTCAAACACACACATACATGCCTTTTGACTGTGGCGGAAAGTTGTACCCACGCAGGTGCAGAGAGAACATGCAAACTCCATGTGGAAACGCCTCAGAACCTTCTTGCTTTGAGGCAACAGCAGTAACCACTGCACCACGATGCCACTGCTAAAAGCTTAACCTCCCAGATGTAGCAATGCCTGTGATCAGATCCAGATAGTGTCAACTTAATCCCAGGTGTTACTGGGGTCTAATGGTGAACCTGAGCAAGGTAAATGGTGCGGCTCTGCACTCAAGACTACAAGTCCCAAGTTTCAGGCCTGACGTGTCTATGTTTGTGTGTGTGTCTGTGTTAAGGGCAGAAGTCTTTGTAGTTGTTAGCAGTCCTCAGTGCCTCATAACTGGACAGATGGATGGATGGGTGGATGTCAGAAGCTTGTACCAGCAGTCGCTGGGCTCTTAGTCCGTTTCTTCTCATCTGTCAGTCTATCCCTCCCTGTGTAGTTTTCCACCCCTCCCCTCCTGCTACCCCCACCCCACAACCCACCCAACAGGGCAGAGCTGAAATAATGGGAAAAAGAGACCAAAAAGAGGGCAAGTAAAAGCAACAGAAGAACAGAGGGACAGACAGATAGATAAATGGGGGGTGGCATAATCAGTCCCTACTCTGGTGCTGCAGCAACCGGGTGACCTCACCCTATAGTTACCATGACAACCCAGTCTGCCACCAGCTGACAGCACTCAACTCTTTCTCTCGAATTCTTGTTTTCCCTTGAGCGAGTGGCCCTTCCAGGATGACAGAGAGGCGAAAAATATGACATGCGTCTGCGAGTGAGGTCACACCTCTCCGTGGCACACTTCAATGCCATTATTGGTATTTTTATGGCTCGAATGCAGGTACTGCATTCAGCAGCTCTATCCCCTGGATGCTCTTGTGGGTAAAAAACAAAACAAAAATAAACAAAATCAGAGTATTTCCTACAGGGAGTGCAGAATTATTAGGCAAGTTGTATTTTTGAGGAATAATTTTATTATTGAACAACAACCATGTTCTCAATGAACCCAAAAAACTCATTAATATCAAAGCTGAATGTTTTTGGAAGTAGTTTTTAGTTTGTTTTTTAGTTTTAGCTATTTTAGGGGGATATCTGTGTGTGCAGGTGTGCATAATTATTAGGCAACTTAACAAAAAACAAATGTATACCCATTTCAGCGTGTCAGGCTACATTTCACTGTGTGTTATACTTGTATAACTATGCATGTGACAAATAAAGAACCTTGAACCTTGAACCTTCAATTATTTATTTTTACCAGTGAAACCAATATAACATCTCCACATTCACAGATATACATTTCTGACATTCAAAAACAAAACAAAAACAAATCAGCGACCAATATAGCCATCTTTCTTTGCAAGGACACTCAAAAGCCTGCCATCCATGGATTCTGTCAGTGCTTTGATCTGTTCACCATCAACATTGCGTGCAGCAGCAACCACAGCCTCCCAGACACTGTTCAGAGAGGTGTACTGTTTTCCCTCCTTGTAAATCTCACATTTGATGATGGACCACAGGTTCTCAATGGGGTTCAGATCAGGTGAACAAGGTGGCCATGTCATTAGTTTTTCTTCTTTTATACCCTTTCTTGCCAGCCACGCTGTGGAGTACTTGGACGCGTGTGATGGAGCATTGTCCTGCATGAACATCATGTTTTTCTTGAAGGATGCAGACTTCTTCCTGTACCACTGCTTGAAGAAGGTGTCTTCCAGAAACTGGCAGTAGGACTGGGAGTTGAGCTTGACTCCATCCTCAACCCGAAAAGGCCCCACAAGCTCATCTTTGATGATACCAGCCCAAACCAGTACTCCACCTCCACCTTGCTGGCGTCTGAGTCGGACTGGAGCTCTCTGCCCTTTACCAATCCAGCCACGGGCCCATCCATCTGGCCCATCAAGACTCACTCTCATTTCATCAGTCCAATCAGTCTTGAGATATTTCTTGGCCCAGTCTTGACGTTTCAGCTTGTGTGTCTTGTTCAGTGGTGGTCGTCTTTCAGCCTTTCTTACCTTGGCCATGTCTCTGAGTATTTCACACCTTGTGCTTTTGGGCACTCCAGTGATGTTGCAGCTCTGAAATATGGCCAAACTGGTGGCAAGTGGCATCTTGGCAGCTGCACGCTTGACTTTTCTCAGTTCATGGGCAGTTATTTTGCACCTTGGTTTTTCCACACGCTTCTTGCGACCCTGTTGACTATTTTGAATGAAATGCTTGATTGTTCGATGATCACACTTCAGAAGCTTTGCAATTTTGAGACTGCTGCATCCCTCTGCAAGATATCTCACTATTTTTGACTTTTCTGAGCCTGTCAAGTCCTTCTTTTGACCCATTTTGCCAAAGGAAAGGAAGTTGCCTAATAATTATGCACACCTGATATAGGGTGTTGATGTCATTAGACCACACCCCTTCTCATTACAGAGATGCACATCACCTAATATGCTTAATTGGTAGTAGGCTTTCGAGCCTATACAGCTTGGAGTAAGACAACATGCATGAAGAGGATGATGTGGACAAAATACTCATTTGCCTAATAATTCTGCACTCCCTGTATGTGATGAAATCAGGGATTGTAATTCTTTTAAGACCCTCTTCATTGAAAAACCAATGTATAGATAAAATACTTTAGCAAGTTGGAGATGGCAAATGTGTTGTAAAAAGTTACTTGTTTGTGCATTAAGCAAATGCAGAGTGACACTGGAGTTTTTGATTCTGGTATTCACTCTGCGTTGTTAAATACATGACTACATTAGTCACTAAGATAGTGCATAGCAATTAGTCACTGATAGTATAAAGATTACCAGATCAGTAGTTTGACAGCTGCTAAAAATATATCTATATATTTATAATAACAATGTGTCAAATCAAAGTGAAACTGTGTCACTATGAAAGGGTCCCTTTAATCGTGATGAACACATTTTTAGTTTCCACAGTGTCTGGTTCTCTCTCTCACCTCAGCTAGCCTCAACACTTGTTCTGCACAACCAACCCGGATAAAAGAGACGCAATAAGAAACTTGCTGATAGAAAATGTGTGATAGTAGAGACCAAAACCGAGCTAAGAGATAGTGAATAATAGCCTTACACTCATCAACACTAAAATAACTCTGGATGAGTCATCGTGCTGCTCTGTAATCACTGGCAGGTGGAAAATAACAATTATTTACGAATAAATTCACTACATCAGTATGCAAGTTACACGCTTTAGTCCTAATGGCAAAAATCTCGACTTCTACAGGTTCACGGTTGGCTAAAAGTCATTTTTAAGCACTCTGCCAGACCCTTCCAGTATTTTCCCTGACTCAGTTTTTTCCAGCTCATCATTTAAGCAACTATGATGATAATGCACTTACTGTAAATTGCTTTGGGCAAATGCATGCCAAATGCATATAATGTGATATATAATGAAGTCTGTACTATATAAAATATCCAAGACTTCAAGTTTTGATAGTGTTTATTCTATTAAACAGACATATTTCAATTAGTTATTTGCAAATTCAGCCTGATATGTTTAGGATTTTGGAACAATATCCAGGCATTAAAGAATGGGTTTATAATAGCTGCCCCACCAGCAGGTCGTCGGAGTGTATAATTGTATGCTAGTGTACCATTTGAGAAGACTATAATAGTGCAGCATGAAAGCAGTTATGAAACATGAAAAGGGAGTTGTACATTAACAACTAATCTAATACATTGCTGTCCATAGCCCTCATCATCAATCATCATTATCATCTTTCTAAACCTCTTCCCTCTCCAAGTGCATTTGATACTGACATCCACTGGCAAGCTAAAAAAATAAATAAATAAAATAAAAATAAAAAAATCAATGAGAAGTAACACAAGTCCATTTACACCACTCGGATAAAAAAAACGATTGTGCATCGTCCAATTATGTTCGTCTATTTACCCTCAGAGTAATGGCTTAATTTTACACTGTCACATAAAAGTAGACAGACAGTTAAGTAACCTTAAAAGTTTAGGGCTCTGAACTTAGTACTGGTACAATTATCCAGGTGTTTAGATCTCAGATTAGTCTTGTCTTTATTTAATATTATTGTATTAACGTTAAAATTAACGAAATTTGAAAGCGCACAGCTGCAGAGTGGTTTTGGTTTCTGCCAGGGGTGCACAGACTTGCTGCAAGGGAAATCGTCACTGGCCGTCATCTCACCCACCGACCCGCTATTAATAGCAGCTGGTTTGCTTTCGTCACTCCTCAGCAGTGCAGGAGGGAGAGGGGGAGGAGGGCAGAGAGCAATAGAGAGGAAGGAGGGAGACGGATAAAAGGGAGGAGGGGTGTAGGCAGAGGATTGGGAATGCAGAAGAAAGCCGGAGAGCAGAAGGATGACGCTCATCCTTTAAGTTGGTCTAAACGTCACTGCGTGATGTCTGTGCGTGTGTGCAAGAGCGCTCAGACATGATGTGAATTTCCACACGTCTTTAATCTTCATTTACAACAAAGTGCTAGTCACTATTCAAGTGATTTATATAGTATACAAGGTACTTCGATATTCACCAGAGGTGTGTGATCACTCACCTTGAGGTCCCTGTGGACAATATCGTGCTGGTGGATGTGGCTGACGCTCTCCAGGATCTGATTAATGCAGTGGCTGGAAGAGACAGAGAAGGATGAGGAGCACAAGGCAGACACATTCGTCAATCCACAGGAGATCACAAATGCAGACTGAAGCAGAAGTTTTAAAAAAGAAGAAGAAGAAGAAGAAACTAGTTTAGGGTGGAATTCATATTACGTGACAGTTAAAGTACACGACGAGCATACGAGTAAAGACAGAAATGCCACAAAAAAGATAAAAAAGAGGATATGGTTGAACAGGTTTCTGTTGTTCACACTGTATAGTGTCACAGTATTAAAGTAAATTGGTAGACAGCTCTTCCACTGGGCACATAACAAAATTACGAAGCGCTTTAAGCTTTGTCATTATTATATGCAACCAAAAACACCCAGAGCCTTGACGTAACCCTGCATTAAGAGCCAGGTTATGGCCTCAGTCATCCCAAGTGGCCCATGGATGACACGGTGAAAAAGAAAGCAGGATACAGAAAATACAGCAACCCATTTCCAGACACTCTTTCTAAAGAGACAATGCAACCTGTTACAAGGGCTACAAAGAGGAATACAATGCTCTGCTCTCCCACTGCTTCCTTAGTTCTGCTCAGCTGGCCAATCACAAAGTGGCTACAAATGTCAGATCATTAGTGGCTGTGGGTCCGTGGTAACAGACACCCACAATGCAACACAGGAAGGGTGTAGGGGTGTGTGTGTGAGTGAGTGTTTCAGACGCTAAACTGGCATTCACATCCCCTTCACACCAGCAGTGTAGACGTGAGAAAAGAGCTGCTCTCTAGTTATGGTTGCTGTGTGACTACTTCAGCAAAAGAAGCACTATCAATGTCTTGAAGGAGACCCTTTCAGAAAATGTGCCCGTAAATCACATTTACCTCGCCCTTACAGAAGAATTTTGTCTAACTTTTTTTTTTGGCTGATCGACTAAATCCTTGCAACCAGGGTCTTTTTCACCAAATTTGCAACATTCTAGTGGTTGATGGGCAACACAAAATCATTTCCTGTTGCTCATTTTGACACTGAGGCTGTAGTCTCAGTCATATGCCGCAAGGCTGAATGCAGTAGTTTGATTCTGACCAGTGGCTTTTTGCTGCATGTCTTCCTCTTTCTCCCTGCCTTCCGGTCTCTCTTTACTGTGCTATCTAACAAAGGCGCAAAAACCCAAGTCAATAAAAAATTATTATTATTTGGATATACAAGGGTATACTCTCAAAGAGAAAAGTGCAGCATTGACAGTTTTTGGCCTGATTCATTATTTTCAATAGCTGAGGAAAAGACTCCAAATGAAAAACACCTGCCTGTTCACATGACTGTAGATGCCCAATCCTATGAGCGACTAACAGCTCAAAATGTTTGCATTTACTGAGGTTTTTCCTGTGAGATGATGATGAACGCAAAACTATAAAGCACTTAACTAGCAGCAAGGTAAGGTTTTAGGCTTTCTGTATGTGTGAACACATCGAAACTGTTGTTTGGTCTTGTTACTATTTTAAAAAGTAAACTGTATCCAGCCATGATGTCAATAGTTCATCCAAGGATCTAAACTCTCCAATCTAAATGGAAAAAATGGCTCAGAGTCTGTGGTTATATTTGCTTAAAATAACACTGTTTAAATGATTTTATATTCTAGCTTTTTATATTTCTTTATAATTAGATCAGGCTAAAAAGGCTAGAAGGTAGAGTGTACTCAACACATTGTGACAGATAGTCAAACTAGAGATTAAGTGCATAATCAAACCTACCCCAGCAACAGATCAACTGATTAGAAGGTAACAGTTCAGTCAACCAACAATTTGGCTGACTAAAGCCCAACATTACACTAAGCTAAACACCTGATTTATTTATGAACCCCCCATGAGCCATGTAAGATTTATAAATGTACCTGCAATCTTTGAGCAACATTCCCGTGTACTTGGAGCAGAGGATAAGTGGTGCAAGAAGAAGTATGTGGTGCATTTTTTAAGTAAATGAACGTGACGAAAGAAATGTGGGCAGGGTGTGAGGGGGGAGTCTTATGTAAGCTTGTCCTCAGCATGCATATCTACAATTCTTTCGGCTCAGTTAAAGTTGCTATTATTTCTCTTAAAATAAATTGAGCTTGGCATTTAGTAAAGGTGAAGTAAGGGACAACAGCGGGAGGGGGAGACAGATTTAGGGAGTATTGTCGTCTCTCTGCGAGAGAGAATCAAGAGTGTCCAAATTAGAGCACAACAGGACTTAAAATTTATCCCGCCATTTATTCTGTCCCTACCCAGCTTCCTCATACACATATATGACATTTATTATTTTTCATGTGTTACTGAGCCTATTTTATCTTCAGCCTAATCTAGTATAATGCCTATTGTACTATTTTCCTCTTGTACTTACCTTAACTCTATTGATTGCCTTTCGCATTCTCTATTGCAAGTTTTGACATATTTTTTTAATTCTGCTATTTAAGTCATTATCTAACTGATTAAAAGCTTTTACATCATGGTTAAGCGCTTAGGCATGTAGGTAATGCAAAAAAACAAACCTCAACTTCGGACAACAAACTAAAAATAAGTTTTAAACTCAGAGGACAGCTTTGTCATTGTTTATTAATGAAATTTAAAAGCACTGAGTCACTTGGTCCAAAATAAAGTGTATACAGGTTGTGCCAGAAAGCAATGGTTCTGCTGCTACAGCACAAAGTACATTAACACAGATTCAAATCGCAAAACATTTTATGAGAGTTCACAGCAACCAAAAACAAAAAGGCACAAAAATCAATTTTGTGCTAACTTAGTGTACCTGGCATCTGCTTCACTGTAGTACTCTCTGGCGACAATGTCCTCAAACAGCTCGCCTCCAGTGACTCTGCGGAAACATACATGAAAAATAGAAACTTTGTATTTTGTGTTTATTTCTGAGTGAAGATCCCCAGCACAGATGGAAAACAAGCATACTGCAGACAATATCACCAAAACATGCTTTTTAAAGATCAGTTTGTCTTTTTTTTCCATTTTTACCCCAATTAACTGCTATTTGTGGACTAACACATGAGAAAAAGTGAGTTCTTTTTGTAAAGTTGGAGTCATTACCTCTAGACAATAAACAAAAATTGATCAATAGAGGAAGAAAGGCCTGAACTGGTAATGTGTGTGTTTGTACTGTGATTCACTCACAGGTCAAAGACAAGGTAATGGAAGCCTTCCTCTGCGATGCTGTCATGCAGTCGTACTAGTGAGGGAGAGAAACACACAAAGAAACAGAAAGAGCCATCAAATAAAAATCTGCAAATCAACTTTAGGTGTTTAGGTTGGAGGTTGCGTGCAGTCACTTCAGGCTTGTTAGTTGATCACAGCCATTGACATGTCGAAGAGGTTAACACGTGAGGAGCGGATCGAAATCGTGTTGATATCTGGTGAACGCAGTAACCGGGTCATTGCAGCAGATTTCAATGCAAGACACCCTACGAGACCACCCATCTCCCATGCTACAGTCAGCAAACTGTTTCATGAAACTGGTTCAGTGTTGGATTTGCCAAAATGTGGACGCAAGAAAACTCACTAATGAAGAAACATCAGTGGCTGTCCTAGCTTCATTCAGCAAGAGTCCACAGCGTAGCACTCGCCGCATGTCACTGGAGAGTGGCATTAGTCAAACATCCCTTCGGCAGATATTAGCTACTCACAAAGGCAAACATTTATGTGAATGGTGACGTTAACAAACAAAACCACCGCTATTGGTCTGACACTAACCCACATTGGATGGATCCCTCCAGGACTGTTGGACCAACAAAAGTGATGGTTTGGTGTGGTACAGTGGGGCAAAAAAGTATTTAGTCAGCCACCGATTGTGCAAGTTCCCCCACTTAAAATGATGACAGAGGTCAGTAATTTGCACCAGAGGTACACTTCAACTGTGAGAGACAGAATGTGAAAAAAAAAATCCATGAATTCACATGGTAGGATTTGTAAAGAATTTATTCGTAAATCAGGGTGGAAAATAAGTATTTGGTCACCTCAAACAAGGAAAATCTCTGGCTCTCACAGACCTGTAACGTCTTCTGTAAGAAGCTTTTCTGTCTCCCACTCGTTACCTGTATGAATGGCACCTGTTTGAACTCATCATCTGTATAAAAGACACCTGTCCACAGCCTCAAACAGTCAGACTCCAAACTCCGCCATGGCCAAGACCAAAGAGCTTTCGAAGGACACCAGGAAAAGTATTGTAGACCTGCACCAGACTGGGAAGAGTGAATCTACAATAGGCAAGCAGCTTGGTGTGAAAAAATCAACTGTGGGAGCAATCATCAGAAAATGGAAGACATACAAGACCACTGATAATCTCCCTCGATCTGGGGCTCCACGCAAGATCTCATCCCGTGGGGTCAAAATGATCATGAGAACGGTGAGCAAAGATCCCAGAACCACACGGGGGGACCTGGTGAATGACCTGCAGAGAGCTGGGACCAAAGTAACAAAGGTCACCATCAGTAACACACTACAACGGCAGGGAATCAAATCCCGCAGTGCCAGACGTGTTCCGCTGCTGAAGCCAGTGCATGTCCAGGCCCGTCTGAAGTTTGCCAGAGAGCACATGGATGATACAGCAGAGGATTGGGAGTAGGGCTGGGCCATATTATACCGTTCACGGTAATACCGGTATAATGTTAGGCAACGATAGGAAAATGAAATATCGCGATAGAATATGAGTAAAACGCGCATGCGCAGTGCCTTTGTTTTCATACGCACATGGCCGATTGTTGAGTGAAACAGATGAACCAGAATTGGTTTGTAAAAATGGTGCAACTTCAGTGATGTGGAACTGGTTTGGTGTTTGTCCGTCAGATACACAACAAAGCACATTTTTTTGCAGAACATGCAAGCGGCCGTCGTTATTGTCGTATTTGTCGGACTAAGATGCTCTTAAATCTGGGAGTAATCTGGGTCCTAAACTCAGTACACCTCAGGTCAAACAAACACTGCAGCATCACTGAGAGTTAACTGTCTAAATTCTTTCATCTTTAATAAAACGATCAGCATTGCTGCTTTACCAGGTGTAACAATTCAGTTTAACTTCCAGGCATCCATGAAAACAAAATTTATTACATTTAACGGAGTTAGAAGTTAGCAGGAAGCTAGCGGAAGTTAGCTCGCTAGTTTCGCTAGTTACCTAAGCATGATATAGCATGTTCTGACTGAGAGATTTCTGAAAAAATTCAAACGTACAGCTCTGCTATCACTTCCAACATAAATGAAGGCAGGAAACTAAACAGCAGTGACGTTTGTAGGGTTACTGAAGTTGGGCTAGCTGGTATATAATGATGTGCTACGTGATCGCTAGCGACACAGCTATGTTAGCATAACATAAACAGTGAAGCTGGAGGATGAACACTAAGGTTCCTCATGGTTAGAGACAAATGCAATCGCATGGCAGGATGCTGTAAACGGACCAAACGTCAGTCAGGAGAACAACTGAGATAATCCATCCACAATACAAGGCTAGTCATTAATATACTGCAACAACATGGGAATAGAGCAGCTGCCAGAGAATTCAACATCAATGAATCAATGGTACAGAAGTGGAGGAAGCAAGAAGAATGAGTTTAATAAAGTTTGATTTATCTAACTGCTTTGTTTAGCTCAATGTGCCTTATGGTCCAAAAAATACGTACTGCACACTACAGTTTAATGTTGCAAAGCACCTCTTTTTAACTTCAGTGGATATTATATATGGTTATGCTCAGGATATGTCAGCCCATTTCTACTGGAAATGCCTTTTGGTTAAACTTTCAGCAAGGAATTTGCATTTGCACTGTTACATTTTTATAAAGCTTTAATGTACATAAAAACCAGCTTCTTGTTTAAGTGAAAATTAATGGAAGGTTGTATTTTTGCGCTAGTAATGTTGTGGAGTATTTTGTCTCGCATCAATTATATCGTCAGTTATATCGTTATCGCAAATTTTCAAATGTATATCGTGATAAATATTTTTGGCCATATCGCCCTGCTCTAATTGGGAGAATGTCATGTGGTCAGATGAAACCAAAGTAGAACTTTTTGGTATAAACTCAACTCGTCGTGTTTGGAGGAAGAAGAATACTGAGTTGCATCCCAAGAACACCATACCTACTGTGAAGCATGGGGGTGGAAACATCATGCTATGGGGCTGTTTTTCTGCCAAGGGGACAGGACGACTGATCTGTGTTAAGGACAGAATGAATGGGGCCATGTATCGTGAGATTTTGAGCCAAAACCTCCTTCCATCAGTGAGAACTTTGAAGATGAAACGAGGCTAGGTCTTCCAACATGACAATGATCCAAAACACACCGCCCGGGCAACAAAGGAGTGGCTCCGTAAGAAGCATTTGAAAGTCCTGGAGTGGCCTAGCCAGTCTCCAGACCTCAACCCCATAGAAAATCTGTGGCGGGAGTTGAAAGTCCGTGTTGCTCGGCGACAGCCCCAAAACATCACTGCTCTCGAGAAGATCTGCATGGAGGAATGGGCCAAAATACCAGCTACTGTGTGTGCAAACCTGGTAAAGACCTATAGTAAACGTTTGACCTCTGTTATTGCCAACAAAGGTTATGTTACAAAGTATTGAGTTGTATTTTTGTTATTGACCAAATACTTATTTTCCACCCTGATTTACGAATAAATTCTTTACAAATCCTACCATGTGGATTCATGGATTTTTTTTTCACATTCTGTCTCTCACAGTTGAAGTGTACCTCTGGTGCAAATTACTGACCTCTGTCATCATTTTAGGTGGGGGAACTTGCACAATCGGTGGCTGACTAAATACTTTTTTGCCCCACTGTATATGGGGTACAACGATAATGGGTCCATTCTTCATCAATGGAAACCTCAAGGCCACTGGATATTTGAAATTGCTACATGATGATGTGTTTCCCTCTTTATGCACTGAAGCTGGCACGTTCCCTGAGTTTTTCCAGCAAGATGGTGCACCACCACATTATGGGTGCCAGGTCCGAGCATTCCTAGATGAACAGTTTCCTGGAAAGTGGATTGGTCGTCGTGGGCCAGTTGAATGGCCCCCAAGGTCTCCCGATCTGACCCCCTTAGACTTTTATCTTTGGGCTCATCTGAAGGCAATTGTCTATGGTGTGAAGATACGAGATGTGCAGCACCTGAAACTACGGATACTGGATGCCTGTGCTGGCATTTCTCCTGCGGTGTTGCTATCAGTGTGTGAAGAGTGGGAGAAGAGGGTTGCATTGACAATCCAACACAATGGGCAGCACATTGAACACATTCTATAAGCGGTCAGAAACCTGTAAATAACTCATGAAAGAATAAAGTTGCATTGAAAACAAGCACATCGTTGTTTTTCTTGTGACATTACCAATAAGTTTGATGTGTCACATGGCCCTCTTCCTATTGACAAAACAAAAGTTGTATCCAAGATGGCCGACTTCTGAGGAGTTTGCCACAAATGTGCCACAAACAGGACTTTAATATCACCAACCATTTCCATGTTATTACGGTGTATCCATATAAATGGCCCACCCTGTATAACAACTATAAGCCGAGTCAAAAAGGTCTAGAAACCAGTTTGTGACCCTCTGGTCAAAAATGTGATTCCCAATGCTAAACACCTAGTGGACAAAAACATGAATTTCAGTCATTTACCAGTTCCTGAAGTTTATAATGATTTTGGCTTGCCACAAATCACTTACTGGTGTAGGCCTGTGTAAATGGAGATTAAAGTAAATTAAAAGAGGGTGCCCTGTAGGCCTGGGTATGCAGATATAGGTTTGTAAAGAGGTAGGCTAATCTACAAAAATTCTCGATGTCTTTAGGAAATTTTGGTTCTAGAAACTGAGTAGTAGATCGTTATTTCATAATGTCCTTAATCAACTAAACTTGGCTCAGAAAGCCTCTACACATCACTGAGACGCTATAGAAGATAGTAAAAACTGTATTAGACGAAGAATAAAATAAAAGGTTGGGGCCTCATTATGCCAAAGATACAGGTACTGCAGCACCATGCAGTAACACCTGTAGTAATATGAGCCACCATGATCAGTTTCATAAGTCAGGTAAGTCAGCAGAAGGTGCCATTTTTCATACTGACAGGCTAAAAGGCCTGTTACCCAACAAGTCTTCACCTGAGTCAATGATGCCTGTTTTACAACTTTTTCCATCAGCAGTGGGTCAAAGTAGAAACTGCTCAGGGACTCATGCATGGCTAAACAGACATGCTCATATATTTAAATAAATCCCAAGGAAAGCATTCAAATCCTGACAAGACAGTCAGCAAACTTCTTTTATTTTTTTATTTTGTTTAATAAAAATGATAATAATGAAAGTTATTAATTGCTAGCTTGGGAACAAAGCCAGGAGAACATACACAGTGAAATGACAATATTATTATGGCTTTGCAAACACACACAAGGTCAGTGATAGAAGGTGTCTCAGTCTTCCCGGAACCGGGCGCCTATCTGAAATGATGAGACGGTACAGTATGTAGTCACAGTGCTGCCTGGCAGATTGGCAACAAACAAACAGCCTTTTGGATACAAACACTAAGAGACCTGCTCCCTGTTTTCATTATTTATAATTAGTTTGATACTACTATATCCCTTGTTTTTGGCTGATTACTGTACCGTATGCAGATTGGCTAAACTTCTTTCTTCAGAAACGAGGATGTTTTACCAAAAGCACAACTTTGATACCGCACCAAGACCATCAAGCTTGCAAATTAAGTAGTAATACAGTTTTTCTTTTTGCAAGCTTCAGTGTAAGGATCAAATAAAGAACTATTTTTAGTGTCTTTGCTCTCTGTTTACTTGGCGGTAATTTTGAGGGAAATATCTAGTGGCCATTAACTATTCAGTGTCACATACACAAAACAATGACGCACAGTACACAAAGTAAACAGCGCTGATCGCATTAGCATGTGTTGGCGTTCAGACTCACTTTGTCTTGTTGGCTGCTGGCCAGTTGCACCATGCAAATATCCCACACAGCGACAGGCCAGGTAACTGGCTGATTTGCATATCACCTGGGGCCATTTGCTTCAAAGTTATTATTAAACTGAACAACACTGAAATGAAACCCAACTTTGGTGCAGTTGTTCTTGCTGTTTTGGTTCTATATAAAAAACAAAACAAAACTGGGCAACCACAAGGTTTCAGCTTTCAGGGAAACTGTTGGTTTTCACATTCATATTGGCCAAATCTGATCTGTAAGCAACTGAGCATGTTTCACGTGATGAAGTATAGGTATAAAGCAAAAAGCCCCTGAAAAACCAGAAGTGAATATGGCTGTAACACGTTTTCTGTTCTTAAGCCCATCCTCCCTGATAGGAATGGCTTGAATATGATTATCAAAACACATGTTCACAAACTGAAGCTTCTAAGATGTTAATGAAGGTGAACTGAGAACTGTTTCTAGAACTATTTATCCAAAAGTGCTCACGACAAGATCTGAAAGACAGAATTTATTACAGGGCTGTTGCATTATGGTCCATTATTTGTATCTGACTGTACCCATTTAACCGTTACTCAAATAAACATTGAGACACCGACAGCTGCTAAAGGGTGCTAATATTCAGTTCAATCCAATTCAACTATATTTATGTAACACCAAATCACAACAAAAGTTACCTCAAGGTGCTAATTTATGAGCACCAAAAACACAAACATGATGAAGAGGTCCAGTTAACAGCCTCAAATTAGCTGGGGTGATGCCTAACAATCAAAGCAGTTAAGCATTTACTCACACGTAACTTTTACAGCACACTTACAGTTATTCTTAAGGGCAAAATCTCTGTAGCAAATGACAATGTACGGCCTATTTAAGTAACACACTGTATTAAATACAACAGCATTAAATGTTGATCTACTCTGATCTCTGGTCTGAATAAAACTGAAACAAAAAAAACAAAAAAAGCTGTAGCTTTTGTTTTGTTCAAATTTCTACAGATGTTTTCATGAAACATCTGCATTATCACAGCTGTGTCACTAATCATTTAATCTCTTGGCTCCCAAAGGTCACTCACCTATGTTCGGATGTTTCAGCAGGCGACAGATCCTCGCCTCCCGCTCCAATTTCTGGTGATCTGAGGATAGAGAAGAGCAGAGAGGAAATGGTAAACACTCAGTAATAGTACCAGGAGGAGAAGTCACTTTGTTTTTGTCCAGCATGCAGAACAGACCCCTTTCTCAAAATCCACTGAGTAAGTGGACACAGAACGGCGTAATGCTGAAGTACACAAAAAAAGAGGAGCCATAACATTCACTCAGCTGACTGCAGGCCGTGTTCAACATCACTTCTCCAAAAGCACGCTTTGAAAACAGCTTTTTCTGCAGAACTTTTTAACATGTGTTCACAATTTAAGTGCTAATAAATGATTTATTTCTTTTTCTAAACAACAGATTTTCGCAAACATTAAAAGTTGATATCTTGTTTGGTAGGACTTCAGAACTGCCTGCACCAGCGACTTCGCAACTTGATTAAAAATGTTCTTTCAACTCTGAACTGGTTACACACAAACATATAAACATACTTCATTTTTTTTCTCTCCAATCTCTCCTGCTCCTCCCACTCCACTGAGAACAATCATTTTTCTTCATCTAAACTTGACCAAAATCAATCAACTTGAACTGGAGACGACAGCAAAACACTTCATAGTAGCAGAGCCCGATGATGTAAGAGGCCAAAACAGAGACCGTAAACTAATGCATGATTACACAAGCAGACAAACAGCTGTATAGTGTACACACACAGAGACATACACAAAATAAGCACAAGCTTTTTGCACTTAGTGAAATTAGTCTTGTGGGTCTGCCCTTAATACAATCAGTGTCCAGATAATGATTCTAATGGCAAGGGGAGGATGTCCATGCATGTGTGTGTATGCAGCTGCATGTTTCAGGCAGATTGGTTGCACAGATACAGTAGATACAATGGATGGCATGTCCTGTTGCGGGGTCTAAGAGGTCAGGTTTATGTTGGGCTTTCCTGCCACCAACCAGCTGCTGGTCTCAGTGGACAGATGGAGTGCTTACTTGGGTGCACAGACCTCTGTGTGTGCGCCTATGTGTTTTGGTTCGAGTTCGCAACAGAGGGTTAGAGACACTGGACATCCCTTATCCCAAAAATATTAGTTTGACCATCATTTTGTAATTGCATAATAGATTATCTTCTTGATATATCTTTATATTGTCTGACAATATCTTTTTTTCACTGAAGCTGAAAATCACAGTCACCAATTCCTTACTGCTTTTTTTGTAAACCTTTTGAAAACCTTTGAATTTAATATCGGGGGGAAACTAACATTGTACTATACACGCTACATAAACACATCAAATAAACCCAATTGGAAACAAAAATGTGTTATTGGTTTTCTATCATAAAAGCTACAGATATGTACAACTCTAAGCAGAAGTATGGCTCCTGTTGTGAACACCACTTGTTCTGCCCAACTTATATGGCTATCAATATACATTCACCAGGCACTTCACTGTAAACATCTGTTCAACAACTTAATGCATTTAGGAGGGCAAGCACGGTCCATACAACCGGCTGAAATTTAAGTCGAACATAAAAACAAAAATCAACCAAAAGCAAGTTTAAAAATATGAGTTTTAAGCTGGGTTTTTTTTTTATGTGTGTGTATGCAGCTGCATTTTTCAGGCAGACTGGTTGCACAGATACAGTAGATACAATTTAGGTGTCTTTAAACATGACATTGTTGTTTTGCCAGAAAGATAGGTCTGAGTGTTTTAGAAACTACTACTACTGAGACTTTTTCACACAAAATTTCTAGGGTTTACAGAGAATGATCTGAAACTGAGAAATAGTGACAAAAATAATCACTTGTTAGAACCAAGGCATGCAGAAGAGCATCTCTGAATGAACAACGCATTGAACGTTGAAGAAGGCCAGAATGGGTGCAATAGTTGAGTAATTATCCTATTTTCTGTACTCACCAATATCCAACAACATTAGATTACAAAAACACACCACTGTCACAAAGCTCAAACCATCTCAGACTTTGAACATTAATTCACTGTACTCACAAGGCGTCCACAGACTAGATCTCAATCCAATAGAGCACCTATGGAATGTAGTGCATCATGGATGTGCACCCAATCAATCTGTAGTGACGCCATCGTATCAATATGCACCAAATCTCTGGGAAATGTTTCCAGCTCCATGATGAATCTATGTTATGAAGAATTAGGGAGTACCAGGTTAGACTTCCTGAAAGCAAAAGGAAGTCTAACCCAGTACTAGCTGGATTTACTAAAAAAAAATAAAAAAAAAATGCGATGGTGAGTGTAAATCTATGCACTAAATAAAGAAAAAACCTTGAGGTGACATGCTCTGGTCTACCGGCCAGTCAGTCACGGTAGACTGTCCTAATCATTGTCCAGCCAAAGCTTTGGGAGGTGTTGGAACATCTTAGGTATTTTTTAAAAATAGGAATTTTCCAGTTTTGTTATGTCTCCACAACATGAAAACACAAAAACATATCAAGGAAGTAATTAATGCCATGCTGAAGCAATACATGTGTTATAAATTAGCAGATGAAAAATCCTCACTGTGGAAAGAGTTTTTTTAAGGTAATTTCCAGTTACTTAAAATGTGGTTTACCCATGAACAAAAGGCCATAATGCATCTAAAATTACACATATTTTCCAAAATACCTGTGTACATGTTGATAGAGCCAGAATGAGTAAACATACTGATATCTGCTGTAGCACGCATCATTCGCAGTGGAACACGTATGCATTCACGCTGTGTCAAAGTAAATGGTTTGGTGAAAAAATCAAGAAGCTCTCTTGTCGTCTACTATTAATGTATTTTCATCTCCCTTTATTCGACGCACATTTTTATTTTAATAAAATGAATTTTTGAATGTTAAAATGTCAAAACATATGAAAAGTCATCACATACTATAAATACTACTGATACTGATCTTAGTAACAGTCAACGTTAGTTAAAACTGTAACAGGAGATCTGTGAGTCCTTATAAAGATAAAGATTTGGAGGTGCGATACAGACTAATTACATTTCCTGCATTGCACTGCACAAAGAGCCACTGGTTTGTTACACAACACCACTGCACCACACAGCATGATGTAGGTAGGACACAAAAGATAAAATTAAAATAAATAACACTCTGTCTGTGCCTATTATACACAGTGGGTATGTAACTGCAAATTCAATGCTGATGTTTGTTGCATGTCATAATATAATAAAAAAAAAATGGTACAAGCCAATCAAAGGTGACATGTTAATGTATTAAAGTCTCTAAGATTGAAAGCAGCAAAGACAGTTGTAGTTGAGGAAATAGTTGTACTGTTATGTCATGGGTCCTCATGTCCTCAAATACACCATATTTTTATAAAGGTAGCTGATGGAAACAAGGACCGGCTTCCATTTTATTTAACTTACTTTTCTGCAATGAGTGACACATCTAAGATGAAAAAAGAAAGAAAAAGGGAGAAAAAGAGGAACACAACGACAGACAGGAGAAAACCTAAGAAGACAACAAAAGATTCTTGTTAATACTGTCAAGAGAATATGACAAGTTCAACCCCAATTAGTGAGAAAACTGAAGCAATCATTAATATACTAGAACTATAGGTGAAAGCATAGTGTAAACTTTCAGTCATTAGCAGATTTGGTGGCAAAACTGTCAATCAGCTGTGCCAGCTGGCATGTTCACACTCAGAAATCCCCACACTTTTACCAAACAAAAAGCTGTAATCAGTGAGCTAAGCTCATAGGGTGGAGGTACCTCAGAGGTCAGAGAAGGCTTCAGTTGGATCAAATCTCAGAACAGGCTGGAAAAACACTTACAGGAAAAGTGAATAGGAAATACTTCCTTCCTCCACAGCAAACACAGAGGGGACTGTAGAGTCAGTGGAAAAACAATTCAGTGGCTACCATGTAAATACATAATTTGTGGTCTTGTGTGCCTACAAAATATTATGAAATCAAATTACACTTCTATATTTGACTTGGCACTCACAGCAAGACACAAATGACAGCAGTAATACTTCAATATCCTTGTTGAAAGCTAATATTATTTGAAATAAAAAATACAACTTTTTAATTCCCTCTGAATGTTAATAACAGTGTTTAAATGTAACCCCAAGTACTGAGAAATGGGTGGCCAGATGACTCGTTCTGTACATTTTAAACAGTTCGTATTTTCAAAGTTTTTGCAGACCTATGAACATTAACTTGCTTAAATAAAAATAAAAAAGTGAGAATTGTTTCAGGTTATTTGATAATTTAAAGCTGTAACCTTTGTCTCTTCTTCCTTAATTGCACACAGGTCCGAAGTTATGAATTTCCGGTGAAATCTGTTGCACTCATCAGCAACAAGATACTACAGGAAGATACAGTAAGGGATGTAACAGTACCCTACATTTAACCCCAAAACTCTGAAACAGCAAGCCAGTCAGCTGTAGTGCTTCTCCTACATATCTCTGCACAGCATACACAGTGTATACCTGTCCTGTTCAGTTCAATATCTATGCTTTTTGCTTAGGCTTCACAGACACAAAAGTTTTGATAAGTCCAGCATTTTCAGAGAAAAAGAAAATATCAAAGCAGTCTACAGACATTCCACAACCTTCTTCTCAAAGCCATAATGGGCTATTTTGGCTGGTTGTATTCTTAGAAGTTGGATCTGCTTGCAAAAATAGGACTATTTTTCGATCCTGGCCTGATATGACGACTTTATTACGCTTGTGATGGCAGACAAGCTTGGCACCCAGTCTGCTTAGAAACACTGCAAACTGACTGAGGAGTATCAGCAAAAAACAAAAAAAATGTGAGAAGAGTTGGTGTCAAAAAGACAAATTTTATAGAAAAGAAAGTGACTGACAGAAAGGTAACTGTAGGCTTTTTCTAGAACCAACAGGACCAGCTAGTAAGTCATTAGAAATAAGACAGACGGGCTGTTATACAGGTGCTGAAAGTTGAACAACCGACCTAAAATTTAGAGAATTAACTCTCTAAATCTGGTATTTCTAAATGGGAAAAAACATATACATAGTGTGTTTAATTCTGCGCAGTGACACATAGTTTAAGTAAAAA